TTTTTTTTTTTTTTGCTGGCATTAGCTTAATAAGTTTTATGTAAGCAATATTTATTAATCGTATTTATATGTATGAGTTAATAATACGAAATATCATTTTGTGAATATAGTATCATAAAAAATATAAACGTGTTTAAAAAGATCTCTTCACTTATAATTTCATTGAGCTATTTTTTATTACCTAAAATTGTTATTTCTAAAACAATTTAGAATAGTTACTTCAGTAGTCCGCAATACCAATGCTTAGTTTATTGTATTTATATTCACTTTCAAACTAATATTATCAACTGTCTGGTTCTACTTATAAAAGTAAATTATCTTTTCAGGAGTGTAGATAGAAAGGGAATTTTACAAGCAAAACTTCTGCAGCCTCAGACATATTTAAAAACTTTTCTTGAAAACAATATTCGAGAAGATTCAAGAAATTTACCTGAATTTAGAGCGGTGTTGATAGATGTTGGGACTATTGATACAGCAAATGGTTCTGCTCTTGTGAGGCTTGGCAGCACAGCTGTTTTGTGTGGCATTAAAGCTGAATTAACCAATCCCCTTCCTGCTCATCCCGATAAGGGATTCTTTGTTCCGAATGTTACCTTAACTCCCATTTGCTCCAATCGTTTTGTACCTGGACCTCCAACAGAGCAAGCTCAAGTATACTCCCAAATGATTATGGACTTGTGGAAAAATTCACTTTTCATAGATCCTGCAAAATTGTGCATTGTTCCAAAAAATTTAGCATGGTGTGTGTTTGCAGACATCATGTGTCTCAGTTACGATGGTAACATTTTTGATGCTTGCGTATTGGCTCTGATGTCCGCTCTCAGAAACACAAAACTACCAGAAGTATCTGTGAATGACGAAACCAGTAAGATTGAAGTAACGGATAATTTTGTTGACTTAAATGTGGACTCTTTTGTATCCTCTGCTACCTTTGCTGTCTTTAATGAAAGTGTAGTTGCTGATCCTTCTTTGGAAGAAGAGTCTTTGTCTAATAGCTCAGTCACAGTGATTCTCAATCCAAATCTTGAAATGAGTATTCATTCCGATGGTCCTATAACTGAAAAGGTTTTAGACCATTGTATTGACTCTGCGAAGGAAAGATATTCTGAAATGAAGGAACTGATTGAAAATTTAAGCTAGTTTTTATTGATTGTGTAAATAAAATATTTTAAATATGACCTATTTAAACCTGCTTTGTGATTTGCTTTTTTTTTTTTAATTTTGACTTTTATTTTTTATGTACTTAAAAAAAAGATATGAATATCCTGAAGTGTAGTTTTAATTTTTTAAAAAAAGAAGCTAAATCAAAATTATAAGTTTTCAGCAAAATATTTATTTTTCAGCAGCTGTTTATTGTGCATTACATCAAGGATATGATATTATTATATTAAAACCAATAACTATTATATTCCATTAGAGAATATGTCCCAGATTAAAAGAAAAATCATAGTATAGCTAGAGATTTTTTTATGTAATTTTCTTTTTATCTGCTAATTGTATTACTTTTCAATGAGCAATGAAACAAGAATTCTTGAAAACAATATTTTTTTACTTCCAATGCTTCTTTTTAATTATTTTTTCAGATTAATATCATTGTAGCATTTTAGTTGAAAACTGCTTTTTATATAAATATTTGAAATAAAATATGATGAAAGTGACAAAAATTTTAAATAAGCAAAGAAAAGAATTCTATTTGTGTCACACCTCTGATACGAAATATGTAGGGTGTACTTTTCACGCATGTGGGGAATTTACAGTGGTGATATAGAAATTTGTAGCAAAGATAAGTCCTATGCTTTTTTGTTTTAAGTGTGACGAAAATCTTTTTTCTCTTTTTATAGTCCACTTGAAAAACGTTTTTACATTTCATTATTTTGAATCATATGTTGTTGTTTTTTTCATATCATGAAGTGGCCGTAATTTCGATTGGCAATAAATAAAAAAATTTAAATTTTAGCTTTCTTTGTAAACCAGTGAAGATGAGATGTCAGCCAATGCAGTTGATATATTGAGAGTAGAAATTAGTTCGGTCTGTTTTTAAGAGATGGCTCTGCTGTTATGAATGTTTCATCGTGACAGCTGCTTTCAGAGTGGTTAAACATCTGTCAATAATATTCAGTTTATATCGCTTTGATTTTTCTGCAAAAAATCCTGTTTTTTACTTTGTTGAGTATGTCGAGTTTTGTGGTAACTAAGCACCATTTGCAGGAGGTTTTATGTTTCTGCTTTAATTGGAAGAAAAGTGCTGCTGAAGCACATCGAATTCTTGTAGAAGTTTACAATGACAATGGTGACGATGCTCTAACTGATAAATGATGTAGGGAATGCTTTTGACGTTTCAAGAATGGTGAAAAGTTTTGTATACTATGAGCTGCTACAACCTGGTGATTCCATAAAGGGTGATTGCTATAGGCTACAATTGATTCGTTTGAGCCGTGCATTACGAGAAAAACGGCCGGAATACGAGCAAAGACAAGACAAAGTTATTCTTCTGCCTAATTACGGTCGGCCTGATGTCGTAAATAATTATTTGGAAACGCTTAAGTTGGATATTTTACCACATCCACTGTATTCGCAGGACATTGCTCCTTCTGATTACTAGTTGATCCGACGGATACAGCACGATTTGGCAGAAATCGAAAATTGACTCCCTACTTGTATTTCCACAAAAGAAGAGACATTTTTTCGAGATGGAATTCGAAAATTGCCTGAGAGGTGGAAAAAAGTAGTAGCCAGCGATTGACAATACTTTGATTAATCTGTTCATTCATTTTCTTCTGAAATAAATGCATTTTTGATCACACAAAAAAACTGACCGAACTAATTTGTACACCCAATATGAACACTCTGGCTAGTCTGAAAGTGGTCAAATTTTTACTGAACCATAAATTTCATTTATCAATAAAATAAAATGTGCTTGCAGTGGTCAGAACACAATTAAATAATATTGTTATCTGTGACTCTAGCTAGCTGGAATTTAGTTGAAATTTTGACTGGTGATAAGTTTTGCCAGTAACCATCATGAAATTGGCATTGTTATCAGACACAGAACTGCAGTTAAAATGTGTGAACTCCAGCTATTAGAAAAAGGTCTTAATTTGTATTGACAATAATTCTCTTTTTATGATATAATGGAAATAAGTTCTATTTTTAATGATCAGGAAACAAATTAAAACTTGTATTGTCATTTCGCAAGGAACACCAAATTTCTGTCATGTCAGAAGTTTAATTGATGACATATGCAATGAATTTTTTTTCATTCTTATCTTTATAGATTGCGTTTTAATAAATAAAATATTTATAAATTTAAAACTATGGATGTTGCGCAATAAATATTAATTTTAAGGTATTTATCAATAATTTAAAACTGAAGGTAGTTTCTTAGTTAAACATTACCTTTTTTTAAGTTTTCATACTGAATATTAAGGAAAATTAACATGTTCAATTTAAGCTCTCCCCCCCCCCTCCGAATCAATTTGTGGCTAGACGACTGTAAGAAATTGAATTGAAAATAAATATACTTCCCAAAACAAAAAGGACATTGCATATGAGTTTTTTTTAAATTACAAGATTACCTAATCAAAATTGAAAGAATTGCAAATTCATATTGAGGCTTCGGCGAAAAAACTTACATATAGTAAATCTGGGCCGGGATAGCCTAGTTGGTAGGGTAGTGGGCCCAAGTCCAAGAGTTCGTGGGTTCGATCCCAGGCCAGCCGAAGTGTAGTAAATAGTGACTGATGCACGTTAAGTCAAAGTCCTCCATGCTCCCATAACAAATCAATACCTCCGGGGGTACTGATCCAGGAGTTTCCTTGTCTTCTAGATGGTTCACGTAACACGTGCGACTTACCGTCTCGCGGGTTAGCGCTCAAAAACGAGTATACTCCGAGAAAGGCAGATAAATGGAAGTGGCTGATAGAAAACCGTTGGATGGAATTTTTCCGAAGTCTAAATAAGTAATCAACGATCCCTATGTAGAAAAATAGTAGTTATAGGCCGATTTTTTAACCACACCTGCTTTTTCCAACCAACACTGTGGTTATAAATGGTTATTGGATAATAATTTGCAGTTGTAAAACGTTTGATATTGCGTTTAATAATATTTTAATTGATTTTGATAAAAATTAAGGGGAGGGAGTTTATGTTGAATTCCGCAAAACATGGCGTCGTTGACAGGTGACGTGGTTAGATGACCCCCTTAATAATCAGAAATCTCTAAAAGTCCCCCTCAATATTCATGAATAATCATCGATTTAAATTCATCAAAGTTGACAAGAAAGACATAAAAAAGCAAATTTCTTTTTCCAGGTCCCGCAGTGGACTGATCGTTAAGACATTGTTCCCAGCAGATCACCGAAGTCAAGCATCAGTGGCTGTGGTCAGTGTGCGAGTGGGTGACCACTTAGATCAGTCTGCGTAGGGACCGAGGGTGTGTGGTGTTGGGCCTCGTTAAACTGTTCTACCGTAAAGTGCTCGACTTCGCGGGCAGGTCGTCGGGCTACCGAAGCAGGGGCACCATCCCCTCTGCAGAGAATCAAAATTGTGATGGCATGTCTTCGGATCATTCTCAGGGATGCTTCCCAGACCGTCGCCAATAGCCCATTGTGCAGCTCTAGTGCGACGTAAATGAACAAATCAATCAATCTTTTTCCAGATATAAGAATTTTTTTTCTTCTTACGTCTGAAATTTAGAGAACTTTTGTGACTGTGTATTTTATCATCTTCCCCCTGAAAAATTAGACCAATGTCCTGCGGCGTTCATGCCTCAAAATAAAGGAATTTTCATGTGCATGTTAACAAAATCACACTTCCTAGTCTTAGAAAGCAATGCATAATTTTAATTTTCATCATATATATTTTTAATTATTATTTTCATCTTATATTCTTTCTTATAAAGTACCTAAAAACTGCACATTTTCTTCTATCGGGTATTGTTTTCGAAATTCAAAATTTTAAGCTCGTTCACAAATTTTAACTGTACAGCGTAGTGAATAAAAATCAATTAGTCTCTTTCATGATGTTCAACGGAATCTTGTTGTGTGTGTGCCCAGTTACTGTAATAACACAACTAAATCGACTAAACTCGGTAGCTATTCAACTTGCGGTCCCAAGTGGTCCCAGATATGCTCGTTCCGAGACAAATTTTGTGATCGAGTTGTGAGGCGGACGCATTCTTGTGACACTCTTGCTGTGTGTAACTAAGCATTGCTTATTAAAAAATGAATCCTGATATATCTGCCATACGTTGCAACTTTTGGGACCTGGATAGCCTGGTTGGTAGGGCATTTGGCCCATGTCCAAGAGGTCGTGGGTTCGATTCCCATCGGCCGAAGACTCTCCATATAGTAAATGGTGACTGATGCAAGCTAAACCTGTCGAGACACAAAGCCATCCATGTTCCCGTAACAAATCATACCTCTGGGGTTACTGATCCAGGGGTTTTCTTGTCTTCTGGTTTGGTTCAAAAATACAAAGCTACGAACTTGAACATTAGTACTCGTAAACCTAAATTGGATCGGCTGTTCAACGACGGTTGTAAAAAAAGAAAGACTTTTGTGTCTAAAGAATGTTATGAACATATCGCTTTGCTGTCATGGCTCAGTGAATCAATATTAAGGGTTATCGTGTCTCGTAAGCAATGGCATCCATCCCATACCACCTCACCAGCTGTACACCAGCTCACGACTTCTACAGCTGGTGTAATGGTATAGAGTGCCATCGGATACTTCAAATGATCACCCCTAATATTGATTTGCAGTACCATCAGAGGGAAGCATTGTTATCTAGACTGGTAAATATATGGTTAGTATTGGAATGTCTCCCAGGAGCTCATTTTTCAACAAACACAATGCTTGGCCACATAGAGCAAGGGTCTCACATAAGTGCCCAGATTTGTCAAAGAACCAGCATATTTGGAATGAATGGCAAGATGAAAAAGTCTCCGATTTTAGTTGATTTAGCAGTGTTTTGCAGCAACTGTGAAACGAGATGCCGTAGTACAGTACGGAAAAAAAAACAGACCAATATGAATAATTTCCGATCTAATGATTGAATCGACGCAAACACACTTTCTTTGAATAAAAAAATCTTTCTTCCGACTGATTTCTGATCCCCAAGATATAAGGGGTAGCAGCAATTTGGTAAATATGGTCCCAATAATTTGGTAAGGAGAGTCGGACAAAATTTCGGTCCCTTAATGTTAATTTTACTTTTTGCTTATTTCGCTATATCTTGAGAACTTTTTAAGCGAATTGTAAAATTTTTGAAAACAATCATTGGCGATCACAACTCTCGAATACGCCATCTGGGGAGAGACCGGTTTCATGCCTTTGGCCCTTCTCCCTTCCCTCTCATCTGCTTTTCAGTTTTATAGGAATGTACTACGATATTCTCCGTTTTCTTAATATTTTTCCTTTTTATGTAATAAAAATATTTTTAAAAATTTTCGCGATGCTTTTCTTTAGAACTATCTTTAATGTAGTTTTCAGTTCCATATAGTTTTCTAACTTCGAAAGATTTTAATCTATATGAAAATCAAGAGAGAAACTGACGTACTTCCTTCCTCTAAGACTCTCCACACGCTAATGGGGAAAGCATGCGAAGTGTTGCCATAGGCAGAGAGTTCTGCTAAATGTTACCTGTAGCCCAGTTCGATCGCCAATAAACTTTGTTTACTCAAAAATAATTGTCCCGCAGTGGACTGATCATTAAGACACGGTTCCCAGCAGATCACCGAAGTCAAGCATCGCTTTGTGCGGGTGGGTGACAACTTGGATCAGTCTGCGTAGGGACCGAGGGTGTATTGGTCCTCGTTAAACTGTTCTACCGTAAAGTGCTCGACTTCGCGCGTAGGTCGTCGGGCTGTTAGGAGCTATAAAAATGGAAATAAATTGAGTCTTGTGCGCTATTGTAGCATNCATCCTCAGGAATGTTTCCCAGACCGTCGCCAATAGCCCATTGTGCAGCTCTAGTGCGACATAAATTAACAACAACAACAACAAAAATAATTCCAAGCAAAAAATAACTCATAATAAATATTTATTATTTTTAATTATTTTATTTAATAACTGTCGAAAATTTTGTATTTTCCTTAAAAAGTTCTCGAGATATAGCGAAATACGCAAAAAGCGAAATACGCGCGCTTCTGATTAAAATACTTAGGACCATATTTCCAAAATCCATATTCGTCAGAAAAAGGTATGTTTATTTTGAGAAAGTACACTTTTTTTGCCTGATTTCGTAGCTTAAAATATCGTCTGTACTAATTAATTAGCATATTTAGGGTCACTACCTTGAGCCATTAAGACTAAATCCTAGAACGTGAAGATCCGATCATTAGATCAAAAGTTACTCAGGGTAGTTGATTTTTTTTTGACGTACTGTACAACGAGCTAAGAAATAGATGGATCACCCTGTTCCTAAAAAAGATTAACGAACACTCTGTTGCACAAAAAAATAAACGGAGTTCCCTTGTCCTCTTGATTGGGTTCGAAACCACAGCACTACGGTGTTGAACATAGGCAGTCGTAAACTAAAATTTGGGTGGGTTGTTCAACGGTGGTTATAAAATAGATTAAAATTCATGCTATATTACTACTAGGCCGTTATTGAACTCAGAATATTGTGACTTTATTAAATGGTATGCATACAAAGTGTAAATCGAGGGCCTCCTCTTTTATACACTTGTTGTCGTCGTTGATTTACGTCACACTAGAGCTGCACAATGGGCTATTGGCAACGGTCTGGGAAACATCCCGGAGGATTATCCGAAGACATGCCATCACAATTTTGATCCTCTGCGGAGGGGATGGCACCCCCGCTTTGGTAGCTCGATGACCTGCACGTGAAGTCGAGCACTTTACGGTAGCACAGTTTAACGAGGACCAATACCGCACACCCTCGGTCCCTACGCAGACTGATCCAAGTGGTCACCCACCCGCACACTGACCGTAGCCAGTGATGCTTGACTTCAGTGATCTGCTGGGAACCGTGTCTTAACGATCAGTCCACTGCGAGACTTTTTATACACTTGGGGACTCAATCTTGAATATTGACACCTATATTCCTCAGGTGAGATGCTCTGAATCTCTGATCATTGTCGTATTAAAAAAAATACTTGAATGGTTTAAGTGATATGAACTTGTTGCTCCGCGGCTCCCTAAAATAACATCTAGTCTAGACACAGTCCAAATCAGATCGATTATAATTGTGTGTGTAGAAGCTGCTTTGAGGCATAGTTTTAACCTTCTCAAACAGATAAGGGGCCTCCCTGGCCGAGCGGTATCGCCGGTCCAAATTCTCTGTTAAGCGTGGAGGTAGCGGGTTTGAATCCCGCCGTAACCCTGGATGTATTCTTTGTGATGTCTTTCTCTGAATTGTTCTATCTGTATTTTCTACTTGACAATGACTTATAAGCCTATATTGAGCACACAAGTCAGCAAATGTATGTAATTTCAATAAATCAAACAGATAACTTCGTGGTCATACATTGGCCATTGACTTCACTAACTCGCTTCTTCGCGGCTCCTTGTATTTAGATTGCGTAGAAGTCTGTGGGATGCACTTTTACACATTTTTTACTGTTTGGCTGCTCACGTACATGCCCGTAGGCCGTGTCAATATATTTTCTATTTGCTGTTCCCTGAAATAATATTTCGAAATCATCTGCATGCACGTGCAGAAAATACTTGGTTGTCTCCTCTTGGCCTTCTCGTGACCTTACACATTGATCTATTTTGATCTCACGAACTCACAACATTACGCTCAACATGGTTCATCTGCACCTTGACCTACAGACAAAACTTTAACACCCCTAATATTATGCTTATTTTGTTATTTATTTATTTATTTGTTATTGATTGAATCTGCTTTCGTCAATTTCGCTGGAGGAATTATATTTTTACTCGAATTTTTAATAAATAACCAACCATTTTTCTCTCACAGAAAATATAATATCGATGTATAGCCGAAATTTTCGATATGATTATTTGTGTTGCAGACAAATAACAAGCTGTGTGATTTTATGCTTTAGTATCGTACATTATTTTGAAATTTACAAAAACTTTTAAATACGTATTAATGAGCAAACAAATTAGCTATAAAAGCTATTTCGATGCAAAATTTCTATGTCTAGTTGAATTACATAGTTATAGTTGTATATATAATCATCACTATTCACTATAATATTGGAACATTATTTAGATAACGCTAAATTTCTTTTAGTTTTTTCTTGACATTTGGCAAATTGGATACTTTTTTAGAATTATTTTATTATGCTGGAGATACTGTATTTTGTTGTTTTGTAGTAGTTATGGCTGATAGAAGGAAACTTCAAGGTTAGCTCTCATCTAAATTTATGCAAAATCTAGTGCTGTATATGTTATGTTGAAATGAATTTTTGCTGAAGTAAATGGTTTTTATAAAATAGATTTTATTTATCAAGGTTTACATCTAGAGCAATCAATTTAGGAAGTTAATATGTTTTAATTGAGAAGAGTTAATATCATGTTTTTATTTTGAGAAAGTGTGTCAAAATATATCCTTTTTTACTAACATTCTAATAATATACTTCAATTATCAAATCTTTACATTTGTTTACTCTGTGTTCTTCGAGTTTGTTGTGCACTTAATACTCTTCTATATTATTTAGAAATACTTGATATTTAGTTATATTTTAAAACTTTCCGCTGAAACTATCAACTATTTTGTGAAGAATTATGTGAATAATTTGTGTGGATTAACATTAAAAAAAGCTATTTTTATGCACCTTTTGTTTGAAGTACTTTCAATAAGAGTTATTTCACTCAATTTAAAAGTATTTCATTATTTTGCTCTGAATACTTTTTTTAAAAAATTTATTGACAGACAGACATTTATCATTTATTTTTTCACAATATATACAAGCTTATAACTTATCTTGAAATAAAGGTTGTATAAATTTGCTGTCTTAGATTGCCTGTCCATTGTATTTCAGGTAGGTTCATTCATTTTTGCTAAAATATTTATTTTAAGCTAAAGCTTAAAATTAATATTTTAGCAAAATTCATTGTAGGTTCTACTTCTAAGAAATAAGTCAAAGGTTTTGTTGTCAAAAATATTATAAATTGATACTTAAAAAACCTACTAAATCTAACATATTACACAAAATATGGAACAATAAATTATTCTAATTTTTATTCTAATTTAATTATTCAAACAATGAAAATGATTAAGTACAGTTTTTTCATAAAAATAGTATAAGATTAATTACAGAGATTAATAAATGCAGAAGAGCGCTTATATTATATTTTTGTTTAAAAAAGTTATTTCTAAATGCTTTTTTTTGTGTCGATTATATGCAAAGTTAAAGAATATAAGTTTGCTACTTTTTAAACATTTAAATTTTTGACCTATAGATAAATTTAAGCTTGATCTAAGCTAGAGGAGATTTTCGTGTTGGTAACTATGTCAAAATAATTGCAAAGTTCTAGTGATTTCCGGGGAATGGCATGTGAGAAAGTAAGAAAAAAATATAGGTGACTAGTTTGTCAAAGTGAGTAACTCATTGCCAAAAACAAGCCACAAGATATTTTTGATAAATTTTTTTTAAAATTTGAATACTGTGGTGCGAACAAGTACTGATATTGATATGAAAATGTTCCAAGCTGACGTCACACAACGTACTTGCCTATTAGAGCAATTACCATAGTAGGAATCAGTTATTCATCTCAATACAATAGTACCTTTTCATCAAGTTTAGGTGTATTTGAGAAATTGCATCATATGTGTTAAAGATAAAAGTGCTCATTAATTATCAATTTCTATTTGATTAAAATTTTCAACAGAAATCAATCAAATTTATATTTTTTCATTCCCTGCATACCACAAGATAGCACCTTATTTCCAGTAACAATTCTGATCTTACAAAACTTAATTGTCAGCATCTAGAATTACATAATTTTATTACATAAGTTAAAAACCATTTAAAAATGCAGTTGTATGTGGCAATTTTAAATTTTTCAGTTGTATGTGACCACTTTAGTTACTGATAGTTATTACTATAAAATGTTGGTATAAAAAGGTATGAGATGGTAAAAGATGTGTTTATATACAAAAAATTTATTTTATCTGCTTGCAAATTTTTTTCAACATTTCCATTTTTGTTATATGCATTTTTATAAACTTAAGGAAGATGAACATTTTGGATTGTGCGCCAAAATGGTCTCCAAGCTTCAGCAAACAGTGATTGGCACAGAAGAGTCTATAATTTCACAAAACGAGGCAAGCTTGGAAGGTAACTCTTGCATCCATCTCCAAGCAAGCCACTATTAATATATGAGATCCACATCGGCTATAAAAATTTAGTGGCCCTAAAACACTACTTAAGTTTTCATATAATGGTCCAAATTATAAGATGGTAGACTGATTGAAAAAAAATTAAAGCTACACAGTACACAAGTTTTAATTAAGCATAAGGAGAATATGTGTTTATGTATATTAAGATTGATATTAATTGTACATATTTATGCTAAGAATAGCACAATATTTTAGTTTTAAAATGGAAAACATGAAAAATTTTAAATTTTGACCAAGGTTATTAAGTAAAGAAAAATTAGAAATTTAAATATATATAATTCAGGTTCTGGAAAATTATAATTTTTACATTTCAAGTGTTCAGCTATGAAAGAGTAAGATTTAACCGTGACATAATCTATAAATCTCTTCAAAATATTTTTTGTGTGTAGGTGGAATATTTATTAGTGTTGTTCTCATTTCATCTCATGATAGTGCCTTAATTAGTCATGCATTATTGACTCGTGATTTATTATGGTATTAGGAGGCATATATTTTTATGTATTTTTAAAGTACAAAAATCAGGCAGTGGCATTTGACTGTTTTTCAGTTTGGGTGATCAGGATCTGATAAATTTTGTTCTCTTACTTTCCTTTTCAACTGCATCTAACTACATCAAAAACATCTAATTAGTAATTTACATCATTATATCTAATTTACCACTAAAAATCCAATTTAAAGGTTCTGATTTTGATATAAAGTGCTGTATAGGTTTTTTTTTTTAAATATAATTTTAATATATAGAAATTCTTTACTTTCAAAATTAGGTGAAATCGATCGCTGTCTGAAGAAAGTTGCTGAAGGTGTAGAAACGTTTGAAGATATCTGGCAGAAAGTTGTTGTATAATTTGTTTTGATACTCTTTTTCTAATTTTTTTTTATTATTATTAACCCTTAATGGGCCAATGCCGCCATGAAAAAAGGCACGGCACTTTAAATTACTTAGTCCAATGTTTCATTAAAAATCCTTTTATATCACTCTTATTGTAGGCATTTATCACTCTTATTGTAGGTATTTTAACTATTAATTTAATAATTATAATTAACTACACTTATTATAATTAATTATACTTATAATTAATTATACTTATACAATTTTACCTTATCTCATATTGGATCATTATGGGTTAATTTGTATCTTTGTGTAACTTTTATGTAAATATTTGTTCAAAGTTTATATATCTAATTATTGAATTATTTGAAGCATTATTAATATTTTAATTTTAATATTTGTTATATTTTTCACAAGCACAAGAAGTTGTGCTTTTCTTACTATAACTCTTTTATGATAAATTCCTAAATTATGCATGTTTAATGTAATTTCATTTGTATGTATTATTCACATGTATAATTATAATAATAAGACATGAATTTCGTACTGATAATAGCAAATGGGTATAATTAAATTTTTATCTAGAGATAAGTTAAAGATATTACAGAATTCTTAGTTTTTTTAAGGAATTCGTAATTATTTTTAAAAACTTTAATGTTTTAATATTACATAATAGCTTTAATTTTTATTATTTCAATGCAGCTTAAAAACATATTTTAAATCAACTCATTAGGTGACTAATTTATAAAGATGTATTTTTCTTTTGATTTCCCAATTTAAAATTAATTTGTATACTTTGTTTTTATTTTTAAGATGTAAACTACAAACAAATTTTGGATTTTATAGGTACACAGTGCAGCAAATACTAATCAAAAAGAAAAGTATGAAGCTGATCTTAAAAAAGAAATTAAAAAACTGCAGGTATTGTTAAATTAGTTCAGAATGTTCATTTATAAATTTTATGAAATTTGATATTTTAATTATGTATTTAGTCCAGCTTTCTATAAGTTTATGTAATCAATCTTTCATTTAGTCTTCCATTATAATGACTACTACCAAAAGTTCCATTTGCTTTTTCATGGGCACAATGATATTTTAATGTTCATTAGAGTGTCTAAGTTATCTTATTGCTTCTAGCGATCAAAACTTTGATTTTTTTTCTCATTTCGGAGAAAATTATTTTAAAACCAAGTGTTAAGATTCATGGCAAAATGCTCTCATTGACTATTTGTCAATTATTTGTAAAGTTTCAAAGAAATGATTTTAATCACTATTCTTTTGATGTTATTGCTGTGAGAATTATTGGAACTGCAGATTTTGAGGCTAGCTTGAATAAGAAATGATTGCATAGATACCTTCTTACACAGAATTGGAAGACCAGCATGTACAAGTTTATAGCACTGTTCCACAGTTTGTTTTATTAGCAAGAGTTATTGTGGTGATGTTTCAGTAAATTTTATTTTAAGCTATAAAAGAAAGCAGTTGATTAACTTTAGGTATCAACTGAATGATTGCTTGCATTTCTAATGAAATATGATGCCTTTGTCTGAAATGAGGAAACCTGATTGCATTTCTAATTTTTTTCCGTCTTACCTGGATCTTCTGTTAGCTACTTGCTAAACTCCACATGTTCATGTTGAACATAAAACTGACATGAAGGGAATGTCAGACTTCGCAAAGTGTTTTGTGGGAATCTCTAAGAAAATGTGCTTATTAAAATCTAATTAATTTAAGTCAATTGCATTTATTTGTAAATTTATAAATTTTTTTCTAAAAAACAAACAACTGAAACATTTCTTTTGCTATTTTTATTATCTTTTGAACTCCATTTTCTTTTCAGAGTTTAATTTTTGTTAATAATATATCAGACACTAGGGTTATAAATGTGGGGAATTTTTAGTGTCAGAGTTTCACTAGTTAATAATTTTAAAATATTTGAATATGCAGTGAACTCTCGCTACTACGATATCTGATACAACAAAAACTCCCTCTGTTACAATAATGTTTCGTGGTCCCGACGAACTTGCACATGAATTAATGCTATCCACCTCTCAATATTGCGATATTCTCTGAAGCAATAAACCCCTGTAGAACTATTTTTTTTCTTCAAATTTCAACCTTATTCTCCCCATTTATTATTGGTTTTCAAATAATGTAAAAAATCTTATTTTATCATATTTTGCCATTTTTTCGTCCTTTTCTAACAAGAGAAGTCTCACTGCTGATTATGTTATTTCTTTTCACCACAATGAATGGCTTTTGTATTCCGATTTCAATACCCCTTCCTTGATGTACATAGACCACCCCAAGACCTTTCATTCTTAGAATTGCCTCCCTTATCTCTTAAGAAGTCACAGATGTAACATTTTTATCTGATTTCAAATTTAACCTTAATTACCACTCTGCAAAGTAAATTTTTATATAATATATAAATAGATTTATAGTAAGTACATATATAACATTAAAATTAATTTTATTTTTATTGTGTGCCCAATGTATGTAGGCCCTCTATATAATAATATATCCTTCTACAACAATATATTTATTTGGTCCCCAAAATATTGTTGTAGCGAGGTTTTACTATATCTTATTTTTGAATTCTATATCAACTTGGTTTTGGGGTTTTTCAAAGTGTTTACGGATTGAAATGTTCGAGACTGTTTTTGAGAGCAATACCTATATCCTAGGTTATTGCATCTGTCAATGGATTGAAAGAAAACAAAATTGTTTAATTTTTAATACCAAAAAAAAAATTTTTTTTTAATTATTTTTTTAAAAAGTTAAAATTATTATATTTATGTAAACAATTTCTTTATCGGATATTATTTGCACAGGCAACACTCAGTAGATAGGCTTATCAAATATCTGATATTTTCTATCTTTACAATAGTTCAAGAAGGAGTTACAATACCCTTGAGATTGTTAAAGATAGTGTAAGTCATGATCAGTGATCTAAAACCTTGTGAATGGAAAAAAAAGAGCTTCTAGTTGAGTTGATTTATAAATAAACAAGGTTCATAATTTAGAAATTAAACAAGTTACATCATATTTTAGGCTTAAATGATTGTGTATTCTTTTATCTCATTTTTTTTATTTATTTATTTATTTATTTATTTTTTTTGCAAAGCAATTATACCATACTATCAATAAGCATAATTTTAATGCAATATAGTGGCCGGTTAATCTGAAATTAATGAAAATCTTATAAATCAATAACTTCAATGTAAAATTTTCTATTTTCTTACGTCAATTTTTTCAAAATTTTTCTCCATTTCCTTGGGAATATTTTTATTATTGCATAGTAATAATCATATGCTAATAATAGGTTAATTTGGCTTTAGTGCACTATAATGGCAGGCTACATTGTAATTAATTCATAATTTAAAATTTTTTATTTTTTCAATAAGTATAATGAAAAGTTTCTTTATTTATATTGTTCACATGTGTTATTACTAAAAGTTAAGTTATAAACTCTATAGAATTTAGTTTATTCTTGGATTTTTAAAGTAATATATTCACATTTGTTTATTATGTGTAGCTGAATAAGACAGTCCACTACTAAGTACTACTTTAAAATTTGTTCTGTTGACCATCTGTGAACTTACTGCAGAACTTGCAACTGAAAAGTGTTTGTTCCCTTCTGGAACATTTAAAGATTCTCTACTTTCTCATTTTTCATTTTCACTGTAAGTGCTATCTAAATTCCCACTCTTCTAGTAGTATTGTTTCTGTAAAAGACCAAAATTCATAAATGTCAGAATTTAGTCACTTTGTCACAAGGGCTGGCTGACATGTTTTTTGGGTATAATTTTTTCTAGTTTTTTACTGACAAATTTCGATACTGCGTGCACTGATGGTGGAGAAGGAATAATTGTTTTTGTTATTATTTCTCATTTTCCATGCTGCCATATGTGTATGCTAGTTGTCGATATGCAAATTAAAAATATTTAGGGCATAAACTGAAGCATCTGTTTGATTTTTGTGGTATGTTGATGCTTTCCAGTTCACTGTCTTTTACAGTAACTGTACAATGTAAAAGAACTTAAATCTAATGTATAAAATAATTTTAAAACTATCAGACTTTTATCTTATAGTTAGTAAGAAGTCTTACTAACTATAAGGTAAAAGTTTTATCAATTATGCTTGCTAATATTATATTTTTTTTTAAATTAGAGGCTACGAGACCAAATCAAGACTTGGCTGACATCTAGTGACATAAAAGATAAGAGATCGTTGCAAGATGCTAGGAAAACTATTGAAACTGTAAGTTTTTTACATTTATGAACAAAATTTATTCAACAGCGTGTGTTTCATGAATACCAGCAGTTAGCCAAAACAGTAGTGAAGTTTTAAACTTTACTATTTTTAGATGAACATTGTGGTAATGTGATCAACATTGTGCACCAATAGCCTATCCCAAAAAGCTACTTTTCTCATGAAATTCATTATAACTAGGAGAAATAAAAGAATATATGGGCATACTAAATCTTGCTTTTGATATCTATTTTTACTTAGATTTTCAATTCTCTTTGTGATTTGTTTTTAAATTCTGTAGTTTCACATTTCTATTAATATTCAATTTTCACGTAATCTCTTTAAATATAATTATATTGTCTGTTGTTTTAAGAATTTCTTATTGCAAGTGGAAAGATTTAAGGTTGTAAAATCAAAACCAATTTAGCAGTTTGCATTAAAGCATTTTATTACTGTACAGTGCACACAAAAACAGCAAACCCCCTAAACATTTTTTGATGCAATGATGAGATCACACCCTTAGATTCAATCTGTATGGCTTGAGAGTGCTGCTATGTGTTAATTAGTATGTAAAGTCTATATTTTAAGTTATGAAACTAGACACAAAAATGTACTTTCTTCAAATATATTTTTTAAGTATTTCTACTTTTGAATCTCAAAAAAAAAGGGGAGAGGGTAGATAACAGCAACAGGGTTGCTATGCTACCTGGAAAAGTTACGGAATTTGAAAATCAGCCAAAAAACCAGAAAAAAAGTCAGGAAGTTTAATATGGGGAGCAAAAAACATGTGGTATTTAATCTAACGTTTCACATGGAACACTTTTTCTATGCTTAAGTTTTGTTTTTACCTATTTGGCATGGAGCCAAATTTCACAAAACCATAGCATGTCATGCTTTTGTGGCTTAGAAAACTTTCCTCTGGAAAAGGGGTTTTGGTTGCTTGAATCCATAACAGATAGAAGGTTGAATGTACTTCAGATTGTCTATTCTTAATTTTGATTTAAGAAATTTATTGGGATAAATATTGATTTATAATTCTTATAAATTATTATTTTTTATTGTTAATTTTCTTAAACCTCTGTCACTAAGCTTTGATAAATAAATTCAATTAAACTCGTTATTAAGAACTTGGGGGAAGCAAAGGGATTGTTGTTCCACTTGGAAATTCTAAAGTAATGCTATAATATCCTGTTGTCTATCCAGGTTTATTTTTAGTGCCTATTTTTGTGAAAAATGGAAATTATTTTCCTGAAAGTTTCTTAATTGATAATGAACATTCAGTTTTGGCAATCACTATTTTTCATCCATTTTTTTTTCTGTAAGCACACTTTTTTATTGGCCACCATTAATTCCGATCTTATAAATAGGATGTTATCACGATGTATGAACTTAAATTTTGAGTTATCACTTTTTGGCGCATTCAGTTTATGACGATTTCATCATAATTTTACATTGTTTGATTATAGTTTTTACGTCAGTTATTTATTATTTAAAAGGAGTAGGAAAAAATATTTGTTACTACGGGGATAGTCCTATCCAATAGTCATATTTTGTGTATTTTATTTTTAGAAAAATTATTTTATTTAGTACATTAAATAAGATTTTAATTACTTTTGAATTTATAATGCTTATATATTTATTATTTTCTTTTGTGGGATGATTTTTTTTTTAATGAGATTTTTTTTTTATGAATTAGTAACTGTGATGCAGACTATCTGTATATAGCAGAGGTATTAAATAATAAAATTTTAATATTTATTATTATTATCAAATCTGGAAGAAGCTCAATTAAATTAGGTTTTTTTATTTTTATTTAATTTGCATTGCATATATATTAATAGCAACTTTTTCTTAATAATTTAATGATTCATTAATAAAGTGAGATTCTTTTTTATAATTTTATAATCTAAATCAAATCTAAGTATATGTAGGAAAGTGGCATGTTCATTTAATTCACATAAAGACTTGAGATATGCTCTTTTTTTAAAAAAAAATTTAACTTTTGTTCATATTTGCATCTTTCGCATCATGCAGGTGCAATGTATTAAATTAAATTCAACAGGGATACAAAATTAAATAGGAATTTCTGATCAGACGTTTCTGCTTTTGGCTTCCAAAGTGCGGAATTAAAACAAAATTTATAATATTTCGTGTTGACTAAGTGAGACAAAATGTTATTATTTTTTTAAAAAAATATTTTTCCTTTTTATATGATATTTCTTTTGTCTTTACCATTTTTTTTTATCTGTATTTAGTTAAATTTTTTAATTGCAATAAAATACACAAAATGTGTAAATTATTAATATTAATTTTTTGGGGTTCACTGTATATTTTGACATTGGCTCTGTCAGTATATACTATGATATAAGACTGGAATTTTTTCAAAATATGCCTGCAAAACATGGAAAAGTTAGGGAATTTTGTTCTTTTATTTGAGTAGCTTCCCTGAGCCATAAAGAAATTATTGTTCCTATAGTTTAATCAGGGGAGTAGTCAAAAAATTGGACCGCTTTATGTTAATTTCACTTTTTGTTTAATTTGATATAACTCTAAAACTTTTTAAGCGAATTGAAATTTTTTTTGCAATATTATAAAATCTATTTATTCTTAGATAATATTCTGCATAATATAATTTTTAAGAACTACCTTTATTTAATTTAATAAGAGTCAAAAAAGTTTTGAATTGTGTATAAATTTTTACATTATTTTGAAGCATTGCATTATTTTTGCATTATTTGTACTTTTCAATGACAGTATGTAAAATTTGAAGAATTAAAATTTTAAGTGAGGCACTTTGAAATTTTGTTTGCTCAGAAACTATTCTACCAAATTTGTTTAAATTTATTTTGTCATTTAAAAATTTGTATGCTTTGCAGCTTGAAATCTTTTGACTATTATTAATTAAAAAAAAATAATTATCAATAATTCTTAAATAAATAAATTACTGAGAATTTTCTTTGGATAAAATGGTTTTATTATTTTGTGTAAAATTAATGGTATTTTAAATTATGTGATTTGGAATGTTGATAGGTTTTTAATCTGTTTCTGGTTTTTTAAATTTAGTTTTACTAGCTCTTATTGGTTTTCCCCCCCCCCAATACTCCTTTGGTGTTCATTTTTATATTCTGCATTTTTCTTTTTAATTTATAGGATTCTCTTTATGTTTTGAGTGTTATTACAATGTCTTGTTGTTTTATAGCAAATGGAAAGATTCAAAGTTGTAGAAAGAGAAACAAAGACAAAAGCTTATTCTAAAGAAGGTTTAGGTGCCGCGCAAAAGTTAGATCCAGCTCAAAGAGAAAGAGATGAAATAACAGCTTGGCTAAATGTAAGTTCTTGTTAAAAGATCAATTTGTTGATTTTTTTTATTTTATTTTTTTGTCCAAAATTTTTTGTTTTAAGATTTCTTGTATGGGTGATTTGTATGATCTTTTCAATACGTCAATGATATGACCAAAATTGTATGTTTATAACCTTTTCATTACAAATTGATACATTCAAAATTTCACTTCATAAGCAAATAGTTTTAATTTTACTTTATATGTATAAATTTATTTTAAAAAATGTTTGAAATGGAATGGAGAAAATGTTTCTCTACTGATTGTGCACTGATGACCATAAAAATAGAGAGAAGAATGATTCAATGACAGCCTCTTGTTTTTCTCTTTGTCTTGCTCAACATGCTTCTTAGAAGAAGAAAAAAAAGCAATGAAGCCGAATAGTAAAGTTTTTTTTTTTTACTTGAACTGAAAAAAAATGCTGCACTGCTGCATTAGCATTATATATCTCAGAATTAGAATAATCATCAGCAACAGAGACTTCATTTTGGTCTAGAATTGTCGCTGTTGGTACTAAAAATATCCTGCCAGAGCCACTTTTATTTTTTTAATGTGAAAATTTAATTTGTTTAGGAAAAGTTGGTGATACTGTTTTTAAAATCTCTTAATTTCGCTACTATAACTATGAGTGCTGGATAATCAATTTTAACACTATCCTTGAGTGAATTTACCTTTATGCGTAAATTAATTCCATTCTTTGGATTAGTATTTGTATAGATTAGTTTTAGTATTGTTTAATTACATGTCCACAATTTTTTTTTTTATAATCCGTCACTTTATTTTGTAATCTATACTTAAATTGAAAAATTACCATTTGAAAATGGACCTTGATGAGTAATTTATAGCTTGTTTGATAATCAAAAATTTTTCTTTTATGCAGAATCTTATCCTGGTTTCATCAAACCATTTACTAAAGTGAATAATTTAAATTAGAATTTCCTTGAAATACATAATGAATGTAAAAGTAGTAGACAAAATTATAATTATTTTTACATTTATTCTAAATAACATAAATTTATAAGATTTTTAATTTTTAGTATTTAAAAAAAAAATTTTTTTTTTTCAATTCTAGGCTTGCATTGAAAGTTTAAACATTCAAGTTGATAAATTTGAAGCCGATATTGAAGCTATAAATGTTACCTTGAAGAAGAAAAAGAATGATAAAGAGGTAAGTATATGGTGGCTTTAAGAAATACATTGTAACTTTTTACTTTCATGTTGCTATTCATGTATTTTTGATTTCTTTATAAGAATTGAACTACTTTAAACAAATTTCTTGAGTTTAGCACTGTGGAATTATAAGAAATAGTTTATGAAATTGAATTAATCATGATTCAAATTTTTAAATAATGGAAGCATTTACTTATTTTAAAAAAATGCTGATTTATTTTTATATGCCCCTTAAGTTATGAAAGCTGAGATGTTAAATATTTGAAAAAAATCTAATGAATTATAGATTTCTTATAAAAATTAAAATCGCTGGCGACTGCAAACCATGTTCTAGTTTCTTCATAATGACATCTCGTATTCTACTATTAATGAGACATGTGCATTTATATATGAATTAACATATGAATTTTTCATGCAAAGCATCAAGGAGGAATTTTTTTTTTTTTTTAATTTTCATAGTTGACTAAAGTTGTGCCATTTCTTTTCTAGTTTTTAATTAGAGAATTATTTTAAAATATATAAATGAAAACATAATTTATAGACTAAAAAATGTTGCTAATAGCATCTCTTTTTTATTTTTTTATTTTATTTTTTATTGATAAACCAATTTACTGAAGTGTTGATAAGTCTAGAAACTAAACAACAAGAAAAATCACAATTAATATGAGTTATTATCATCTGAAATTTTTCCAATTATATTTTCTTTTAAATTTGAAAATGTTACCTAATTTTTCCTAAAAATCACAATTCTTTTATGTAATTATCTGCTGAACCTAGTATTACAGTGATTATTGATAATACAAAAAGCAGTGTTTTCCTTAAGCGTTTTTAGAAGGGCATCTTGCTCTGCCTGCCTTTTTATTCCTATAACTGTACCCTCCTTGCCTTTTTTGTGAGAATAAATCGCCATCCCTTAAAACACTGGCTTTTTATTTTATTTTTTCAGAAAAAAAGTTTTTTTCCTAACCATCTGTTTTAATGAAAAGTCTATTTCTGATTTAGTTATTGATAATTATTTAACTTTAATTTTTAATTTCATTCTTTCATTTTAGTAAGATTTTATGTTGTCTAGTTATATGAATTCACATGATATTCGGCCCCAGAGATTTTCACATGAGAATTTTTTTTCTTTCAATAATTTGGATTTAATTCTTCGAAGATATTGTACTATTAGATCAGTGTTTACTGTAGTTGAGATTTCTTTAGAAGAAGGCATATTTTATTTCAAGACATTGAAAAGAATGGAATGACCTGTACAATTGTTTAGCAATAAGTATTAGCTTAAATTTAAACACAAAACATTTAATAAAATATTAACAAAATGTTTCCCTCTATGTTACATTTACTTTTTTAAAACTCTGGAAAAAGTAATTAAGTTAATAATTAAGAGAAAATAAATTAACTATGATTACTATTAAAAATATTTACTTTGTTAGGATTATTCTCAACTGGAGAGATGTTTTAGAGTTTCCTTTTTTTGGGGGGTATATTAATGAAGTTTTTAGTGATTTTCAATTTTGTCATTATTTTTTTAAATACCTTTTATTTAAAAATGCACCAGTAAATGTTTATTTTCTCATAATTTTCAGGTTAAAATATGAAAAAAAAAAGCTTTCAAGTTTGTAAAATTATCATTTTCTTTAATGTACTTTTGAAGAAAATTTATGCTTAGTCTTTTAACTTGCTTTTAATTATTTATCAAATGCTTCAAATTTTCTGCTATTTTGATAATGAGTGAGAATTACGTTGTGAAATATAAGCATAAAATAGTATAAAAGGGTAATTTGAAAATTGAATGCCAAATTCAGTTATTAAATAATATTGCACATTTTGATAAATTTTAACGCTTTTTAGTGTTTTCTCTTTCAAAATTGAAAGTGCCCTTTTCTGCGAGGAAGCGCCCTGCCCTTTTTTATTATTAGGAAGAACTCTGCTAAAATGACGCATAGCAATATGAAATATTTTATAAAGATTTTTTTCTTCTAATTTTTTTTTATATAGTCATCTGCGAACCAAATTTAGCAAGTTCATTCTAATGGCAATTTTGATATTAACGTTTTAAGCATTTTAAGCATACTTATTCTTCTATATTTGCATTTTATTTTAAAAGTTCGTTCTTAAAAAGAGAATATGAGCTTTATTTTATCAGCCATATTACTTTACGAACCAAATATCCAAAAGGAATACTTATTTTATACCACATCTTATGAAATAAGAAACTAAATGCATACCTGCTAACTTTTTATTTCCCAAGTGGTAATAAAATTAAAATTGAGTTACAGTCATATGCAGAAATATATTTTTTAGCTTATAAGAGCTTTATTTTACTATTGTATGATTATCATATTTCTTTATATACAGTGGTAGTCAAAATTATTTAAAATTAATTTATAGATTCTAGAAATAAATAGAATTCATAAATTTTGCTACTACTTAAAATATAAAAATACAATTTTATGCGTAAAAGTTGGTAGCGATGTTAGTGTCTTCTGTTTTAAAAACATCTAGTTGGTATTTTTAAATAAAAAATTAAATTCAAAGTTAATTGAATTGATTTCTTCAGTTTAAAAAATTCAAAAGTCAAACTTGTGAGCTATAACAATGATGAGCTATAACTATTTCGATTTATCTGTAATTATTGTGATTTTGCAGTCAATATTAGACTTGCAGTTGAGTAATAAAATCCATGGTTTTTGAGAATTTTCGTAAGAATCTTTTAAAATTTTTTTTTTCTTTACTTAAATACCTAGACTTATGTTTTGCAAAAATTCACCACAAACAACAAAATTTGGTAACTCTTAGTGTTACTTTTTTATTTCATAAAATTAATATAATTTTATTAATATTAGGTATGTACCTATATGGAAATATCTACTTTAAATTGTGCTAATTGGAATTTTATTAATGACCTGTGTATTATTGATCCTCTAATTAATGACAGCTAGTTAGAAAAGTAGGCCCCTCTGGCTATAAGCTAAGCACATTTATAAAAATAGTTCTAGTTTTAACTACTGAGTTTGTAAAATTCAAATGAAAAGACGACCGTGATATGAACTATTTGATTGGACAAAATTTCTGACAGAAGAATAGTAGCACTGAAAAATACTAAAAAAAGTTTTTGATGATCTTTTTTAGCAAAATTACTTTAATGACATTTATGATTAGAAGATTTTAAATTTGTGTTGTATTTACGGAATAAAATTATTTTTGCAATTTTCAACATTATTCTCACATAATCAAGATTAATTTTCCTATTTATAATGATTTTGTGCTCTTAGTTCATTGCTGGTGCATTTAATTGTGACATTAATTTTAAGCTTAAATGTTTAATAGTTTATTTTTTTTCTTCATGAAAATGGTTAATCACTTACCATATTCTTTGTCTTATGATTTTCTTAATAATGTATAATTATAGAACCAATATAATATATGTTATTTTGTATTTGTTAATTTATAAAATTCATATATTTGTGAAACATGTTTTTAGCTTTTTTAACATTTACTTAAATTTCTGTCTTTCTTTAACCTGTTTTTAAATTATGTGAACTTCTTTGACCAACTGTTGCTATTTGTCTTTTTTAACATCTTATATTTACAATTATAACATTCATTTAAACTTTAGAAACATGATCAAGTTGAAGAAGTAAGAGCCAGGCTTGCTAAACATAAATTCCATGTTAATCAATTGGAAACACTATTAAGAATGCTCGATAATGGAACTGTAGAAGTTGATCAAATAAAAAAAATCAAAGAAGATGTTGAATATTACCGGGATTTCTCACAGGATCCAGATTTTCAAGAAAACGAATTTTTGTATGATGATTTAAATTTAGAAGACATGGAGGATTATTTGGCAAAACAGCAGGCAGAAAATGATATTCTAAGTATGTTTGAATTAGTAAACTATTTTTATTGTTGTGAAATGTTTTTTTTAATTTTAAGTTTTATCTTGAAGGACTTTCACTGATGCTGCATACTTTTTCTCTAGATAGAAGCTGATGCCCTTTGCCCCTGTTTTTTCCTTTTTTGAAATTTTTTAAATGAAGTTAAATACATTCTATAATATGTTTTCATTACAGATTTTGATTTAATTTAATGATTTTTGGACGAATATATTAATTTTTTAAAATAAATGTTATTTTTCTTTTGGCAAAATTTAGTATTTAACTTTTTTTTTTTTGTTCCTGTGAAACATTTAAAAAATTTAATATTGAGAGGAAAATTCATGATGAATATGTCTATTAAAGTTTTTACTACATTCTCTGGATTTATTGGAACTAAGTATTTTAAATCTAGCCGACCAGTCTGTGTAGAGGCCAGGGAACTGGCCTTGCATCAGAAAGGTTCTGGATTTGAATCCCCAGGCAAGGCATGGATGTTCTTTCATTCTCTGTATTATCCAACTGTCCTTACTGTGGGAGCAACGTTGCCCCACCTAATAAGGTGCCCCTTAAAGAGTGTCCAACAAATCTGCCCTTCAGATGTCTGTATTGATGAAAGGTCATTCCCCAGGTAGACATTGGAGAACAAAAGTATTTTAAATCCCATATGTGAATTGTTATTTACAAGATTTATTAAAAATTTTACTGAAAAGAAAAAAATTAAAAAAAAAAAATCAATCATGAAAATCATTCAGGAAACGAAGAAAAAAAAATCAATACTGATATGACTCAATGAGAAAGATGGTTTTTGATTTTTTTTTTTTTGTGTAAACTTTCTAATGAATAGTGTAAACACTTGCTGTTTTACATTTATTTTATTTTCAAATAGCCCAATAATAATTTAGATATAGATGACATAGTTTTGGTTTTGAAAGCATAAAGTGGTCTAAAACAGCTACCAATAATTTTTCATAAGATTTTTGAACATTGACTATTACACCATTTATTAGCAATCACAAATTTTAATTACTTTATCTTCTAAAATATTGATAACTTTAAATTTTTTTTTATCATTGCATCGAATTAATTTAAATATTTCTTATAAATGTACTCAAGTTTTAAATTTATTTTCTTTGATAATATTCTCCTTTATTTAGTTGTATTTCATACTTTATTGTAGCATTGATTTTGTTAAATTTTTGTTATTGAGTTGGATAGCAAATTTTTTTTTATGTAATTCGTTTAATTGTATATATATATGTATTATGGGGCATTATTATAGTAGTGGTATTCGGTATGCAATTAAAACTGCATAATTTTTTTTGTCTTCAGTCATTTTATTAAAAGAACTACATTAGCAATAAAATAATTGCAAATTTTTAAATCTGTGAATTTAGATGCTATCAATTATTTATATTAACAATTTTCAATAAATACATGAGGATGGAGCAGTTAAGCAGGTTCAAAAACTTTGATGCATCTCTTTCATTTCATCTTCAATAATAATTCAATGGCCGCAGAAATTTTTATTGGTAAAATGCCGGACCATCCATGAAATGACTTAAAAAAATTATTAGTCACATATTCACTGCATTTTAATTTAGAAATTATTAGAAATTGATTCAGAATGAATGAACCTTGTTTAATACAATTTTTAGCTAATATTGGATTTGGAAATTATAAACTAATCTATGCTTTTTTTAATAACTATCAATGCTTTATATGCTTTAATTTTTTTCATTAAATTTATTAAAAGAATTTCAACTTTTTATTAATCTTCTAAATAAGGAAACACTTATCAAAAATATCATTTTAGTGTGATAACATTAGTTATCATTTTATCACAAAATTACCATTTTAGTATGATAACATTAATTATCATTTTATCACAAAATTATCATTTTAGTATGATAACATTAATTATCATTTTATCACAAATTTATCATTTTAGTATGATAACATTAATTATCATTTTAGTATGAGATTCATTATTTAAAATACCGAACATCTCAATACATTAACATTCTTTTGCAGTTGACAATTTATTCTATTTTTACTGCATTACAAAATGAATATTCTTTTGTTATAGTCATGGTATATTATGATCTCATGCTCAATGTTTTTCAGCATTTTAAAAATAATTTCATGTATTTCAATTATAATAATAGTTTTATGTAATATAGTGAAATATAATATTAAAGTTATTTATGTACTGAGATGAATTATTATTAGAAGAACTCATTTTTTTCCAGATATGTTTTCTTCTTTTAATTTTCAAGCCTTATAAAATTTCAGTTCACCTTAAAACTTATTTAACAAGTTTTCTGGTTATAAATACTTAAAAGCATTATATTTTTATGCAATATTTGTATTAATTTAGAAAATGTTGATGTTAACATAGTTTAAATGTATCTTATCCCATGCCAGACATTTTAATTTTTATTCATGATGATTATTTGTATTAAAATTTTGGAATTTATTAATTTAAACAGGTCAACAATTAGCAAATGATTTGAAAAGCTCTTCTGTGGATGAAGAAAGTTCTGCAATTCTTTCAAACACTCCAACATCAATTGGTTCTGACTCTCCCAGTCACAGCCCAAGTTTAGATAACCATTCCACTGATGTGAGTTTATTTAGCTAATATAATTTTATCTAATTTAGAAAGTCAGAAATACTATTCTAGCAGAAAACTAAATTTTTTTAAAACATATGCGTGTTAGCAAGACAGCACTTCATCAGGCGACTCACTGCCTGCCAATAAACAGGAGCCTTTCCCTTGTCCTTGATAGTACCAAAAACTGTCATTTACCAACGGGTACTGTCAGTTACCAGGGGTAACTGCTCTTCTAATGAACTTGTGTAATTTATTGGAGTATTTGTTATGATTAGGAAAATAAGGCAAAATTATAGTTGAACCTTGATTTTTTAATCTAGGTTCCAGCATTGCTTGTATTCCTGTATGTTTTATTGGCTGTTATCAAAAATGCAATTCTTATAATGTTAATAATACTTGTTTACATTTTATTTGAAGCTAGATGGTTCTCTCATCTATCGTTCGTACATTTTCAAGTTATTTTCAAGTTTGTTAGATTCAAGTTATTTTAAGAAAAAAAATTAATTTTTTAAAGTTGACCCACATTTGACGCTCTCCCATTACTACCATTCACAATGAATGGATCCATGAGAAAGATTGATTGAGGTTCTACTTATTATATCTTATTCCAATTAAAGCAGATTATTAGTAGTTTGTAATCCAAAGTTTTTACCTATCCAAAATTTATGTGCACATTCCATATAGTTTTTACCATATTTAAGTTTTAATATAGTTTTTACCATATTTATTATTTTTACCATATAGTTTTTACCATTATTCTGCTTATGTTCAAATGTTCTTTTTTGAATTTTTAAATTTTTTTTAAAAGTAATTATAAGTTTAAATTTTTTTTTTTAAAGATCTCTAAAGCTTCAGATTCAAGCACCTCTGCAGCAAATGCTGTTCCAAAGCCACCTTCTCCTGTAAAATCCATCAAGTAAGTTTTTTTTTGTTGATCTTATGGGATTTTAACAGGGCTCAAATTTTAATATTGGTTAGATTTGTCATGCTATGCATCTTTAGTTTTTTACCTACTACTTCAGTGTAGAAATGATACTGAGATAATACAGTTTGATTGTTAAAAATTAATAACTTGTAGTAAAAAATGCAGTGTTTATACTAATTTTTCCACAATCATCCAATTTTTCTTATTTTTTTATTGTCATATATAGTGATTATTCTTAAAAATTATATAAATTTTATTAATTGTTAAATTATATAAAAATATGTTCATTTATTGGTTTAAACATCTGCAAATTATATATATTTTGAAAAATGTTTATTTAAACATTTTTGATTTAGTGATATATATTTTTTCTTTTTAGTAAAAATAGCTCTGTGTCAGAAAATAGTGGTCCAGGATATTCTAGTGTCAATGTGCATAATAACCAACCTGTGATAAATTCCCAAACATCTTCCACACCGTATTCCATTGCTGCCGCTGGGTTGCCAAACAATCATAGGAAATGTTTGTATTCTTATAGTTAAATTTTTTTTAATGATATTTGATGGGTATAGAAAGTTTTATAATTTGTCAATTTAGAGAAATGTAGTATTAGTGTATTAATAGTTCGTAATATCATGGTTTGTAATTCTGCTAAAATGCATTTAAATTTGATATCCTGTCAGTAGTACAAATTGTTTGGAATGCCTTTTAAAAAAGTTTCATTTATGATGGTTTTGATTCTCAAGGTAGTACAGTAGGGAAGCGATTATCCGGAACGATCGGGACCATTGCTATTCCGGATAACTGATTTTTCCGGTTTTCTGAATCGCTACAAAATGCCGTTTTTTTATTGTTAAACCCAACTAAAAAGAAAAAATATTTGGAAATAATCTTAAAAAGAGGAAAAAACAATGAAGTAATGCACTAATGATTATTTCCAAAATGATGGTAAGGTAAACATCTTTTAAAAAAGAAAGAAAAATCCTAAAATCTTATGAGGAAAAAAATTTTTTTAAAAGAAAAATGGCGAGAAAATTTATTGAATTTCGTTTTGGTTTTCCGGTTTTCTGATTTCCGGATAACGGGTTCTGTACTGCAATATGTTTTATTAAAACATCCATTTAGGCAAGTTATTTTGCTCAAAAGTCATTTTCACATCGTTGAATAGTTTTGTAGCCATATACAGTCTGTTTTAGTGGAAGTCATCTTGTTTAAATTTATTACTCAGTAGAGATTCAAATAGTTCACGGTTTCAGGACATATGAATCTAAACTGACAGTCAGAAAGACATCATAGGAATGCCTTTATGCTTCCTGTTTGCTCAATGAAAAACTGAAAAGATTTGAAATGAAGTTTTTGCCATCACTGAGTATAAGTGCAAAAAAATGGCTGACTACACTAACCATACTACTATAATTTGTAGAGTCTAAGAAAGTCTGAAATTGTAAAAAAAGGCGGCATTTTGAACATAATTGTCAAATTTGTGCTTTTGTGGACCATTAGCATTCTTTGCATTGATATAAAATGAAAATGTCAACCTTATTGATTGTTAAAAATTGTACAAGTGATAGCCTGATGTTGTAATTTTCACATTTGGAAAGTTTTTTAATTTTTCACTGAATCAACTGTTGGAAACTTTATTGCATTTAAATGTTGTTGCTTAGAATAAAATAATGAAGAGTGTCCTATTTACCAGCACTCATTTTTTGGAACAGTTTCAAAAATGTATCCTAAGTCTGCAGTAAATATTTTCCCTTTATAAACTATTAAGTATTCTTTTCTTTCATAAGTATATTAGTCTTAAAAATAGGTTTGCCAAATGTAATTTTTATTTGGTGTGTGTCATTTATTGATATATTTTCAACCGACAAATATTTTATTAACTATAATTGTAAGAATGCTTTTTCACTGAACATTTACATAATTTTTTGATTTTGATTTTTTGTTGTTGCTATTTTTGTTGCATTTTTGAATTTGGTGAATTACTGAAGGGAAACAATCTACATATACGAAGGAGGTAGATGTGAACTAATCTACTGATACCGACCTATTTTTGGTGCAAATATATGTAAATATTTTTTTTGGCAGAGTAAGAGAAGATGGCTATGGTTAATTGGATAATTTGGTCAATCAGTGTTTGGATAAATAGCATACTGTTGTGCTTAAAAATGTTGAACTTTTTCTAACCTTTCAATTAATATAATTTTTTTACAGTGTCCACTGAACGTGAAAATGCATGGTCATCTTCGAATTCCATGGAAGAGGAGCTCAATAACAATGTAAATATCAAGTCTCATTGTCCAAATTCATCTGAAGCACTTCATAACAACACTAACCATCTTTCGAAATCATCTGTGCCTATGAGCAATTCTTGGACAGATTCTAACATTAGGCATCGTTTTCGTGAAAATGAACCATCATCAGATGTGCAATGTGATTCTAGTGATCAACTTACTTTTAATAATAGTGATAGCCAACTACATTCTGGGACTGATGCCAATAAAAATGCAACTATATCTCTAAACTGCCAAAGTGACTCTTCTTCCGAATCTTGTTTCAATCCGTCTATTCCTTCAAATATCTCTTCGACGTCTGTGGTAAATATTATTTTCATGAATCTTTGTAATTATTTTGTTGAATTTAGTATTTCATTTTTATCATAATTAAAAACATAAAAACTAATCAATTTTGTTATGTATACAGCAGTTTTTTTATACGTAAGGATCAAAGTTATTTTCTCTTTGTCTTAATCTGTTGGCTATTTATTTATCTCTGTTATTTTTAGGTGACCTCTTTCCTCCAAACCAAACTCAGTCAGCAACAGGTTTAGAAAAACCTTAAAAAAACAGTTCTCTTTTGATTCAGAACTGTTTAGTATTGTGATTTAGTACTCTTGTAATTTAAATATGATTTTAATAATCTTTATTTTCATACATAAACATAAGCTGACGTTGAATTTCTTATCTGCTCGGTAATATTTTTTGAAACTAGCAAAATATAAGGTTATGGTCTACTTAGAATAAGAAAAATATAGTGAGTATTATTCTAGACTTTAGTAGGGAAACGACTTTTCTTTTTCCCTCTAAGTTATACTATTCGAATCACTATTCTTTTTCTTTTTGAAATGTAGTTTGGTATTATGCAGTTATCTTTAGATTTTTGAAAAAATCTTTTTTATTATTTAGGCATAGAGAATTTTTAAATCAATTTAAATCATTATTCAAATAGGTTTTTTTTTATCAGTTCACATAATTATGAAGATAAATTTTAAGTATCTAATAATGAAAGAATGACCAGTAGTGAATTAATTTTGCAAAACCACTAAGCTTTATTTCTTTAAACTTTTGAGAAAATGTATGGAAGATGTCAAAGTTATCAAGCCCTATTTTTCTTAATATAATGCAATGTTCATTCTAGACCTTAAAAAGGGCAGGGTGCTAGAAATTGAAAGGAATGCTACTTCCCCCTAAAAAAGGGTACCTATCGCAAAAAAGGACATTGTTCACCAATATTTGCATAACTCTTAAAACTCTCAAAATAAATTTTTTTTTTAATTTTATCATTTAAAAAATCTTTTTGTTAAGATAATTAGCTTAATTAAAAATTAATTTCTCAGTTAAATATGTCCATTCTATAAATTAGTTTGATTGAGCGTAATTCTCAAAAAATGTTGCGTGTTGTAATAATTACATATTAAAAATATCAGGATTTTAAAAACGGTGTCAAAATGAATGAAAATGAGATAAGTAATCATAATAACTGCCAAAAAAGAGATTGAAAATTAATGTGATCTTTTGCTGGAATTTTTGCATATCAAGCGTGGGAAAAAGTGATTACTAAAATATGAAATTTGTTAGCTATAACATCGTATTAATTCCATCAAGATCGAAAAAACCTGAAGGAAACTCTCAAAAAGCAACAAACAGCCAGAAAAACGTTTAATAAATGATTTAGATGTACGATAAAATTGATCTAAATTCAGAATGTCAAAAAGTGACTCCTTAAATTGAGAAACTCGCTTGTTATAATAACATTGTATAAAAGTCATAAAAAAAGAGAAAACAAGTGGAAATAGAATTGAACGCCTTAACTCAAATTCAGAATTCATCTGTATAATAAAGCAACAGCTTTATGTAGTCAATTAACTTTTTTTAAGTAATGAAATTTTTTATTATTTTTTTCTATGGATCATTCAATCTATTTCCTAGTTTGATTTCATACATATTTTTTCTTAAATAAATAAACATAAATTTTATCAGTTGTTTAGACAGATTTTTTCTTTTGGAAACTTTTATAATTGAAGATTGTGATAAATCTTTTACATGCAAAGATAAGTTTTATTCCGTCATATCAACTTTGACGACCTATTCACAAATCCATACATACTAACATAGAATAAAACTGGCTTTACCTGTTACAATTTCAAAAATGTGGAAAGCAGAGTGGGCTTGCAAGTATTAATAATTTTTAAAAAATTTATTATTTGGTTAAATTTGATCAATTCTGAACACTATTCAGCTCACTTTTTAATGAGAAAATGTTGGATGTGATACTTTGAATTGAAGAACTTAAAGCATTAAATGACAACCTATTCACAAATGCATATATACTAGTATGCAATAAAACTGACTTATTCTGTTACACTTTCAAAAATATAGAAAACAGAGTGTACATGCAATATTAGCTATTTTTTTAAAGTTAATATGTATTAGGCTTGATTAATTCAGCTCACTTTTTCATGAGAAAATGTAGGATGTGACTCTCTGAATTGAAGGAAGCATTAAGTCACGTTTTGAGATTGTTCAAGAGAGTAATTTTGGTGGAAAAGAAAACTTCCATGCAGTTATAGCTGCACTAGAGAAGTTTCAGAACTATCCCAGTATGACTCCTGCATCTTAAAATCATCTTCGTTCAAAGAAGATTTTATTTTATAAAGTTCACTGAGGGAAGAAATATTTCTAAGTTAAGCTTTACAAATATGCTAAAAGTTAAACTGATTACTAAGTTTATATTTTATTTTTAATGAATTTATATTTGACATTTTAACTAGACAGGATCAGGTATTCTTCTAGAAGAAATAAATACCAAGATGTGGATGAAAGTGAAAAAATCTGTACTAGATGACTGCATAGAATATGTCTTGATTGAATTACAATATATAATAAAATATTTTATTATACATTTATTTTTTAAATTTAAGCATTGATATCAATAATTTAGTTAAAATTTGTTGTTTATTTAAATTAACTCTCTTGTTTTAATAAGAAGCTTTTACAGTTCATTTACATAGAATTTGTTTGCATAAATTTAGTGAAAATTATTTAAAGTTGAGTGAATCTTTCTGTGTAAAATTAGGAAATGTTCTCCTCAAAGGAATTTCTGCCTTTATCCTATTTTCATATAATAGTAAAAAAGTTATTTTTAAAAACCATCATATTTTTGTAAATTTTTCAGTTTGTTATTGACATAAAGATGCAATTTTATAATTTATTAAATTGTTCTCAAATTGCAAGCAAAACACTTATACTTTTCAAAATATATTGATATTTTATTAATGCCATGATAAATAATAGGTAATGAAGTTAATAATAAGAGGTTTTGTAATTACTAGCTATAACTGAGAGATAAGTTTATTATCTTTTTATTTAATTTTTTCTACTCTTAATGAAATACCGAGCATTGAAATGAAGCATTTTATACTCCATTGTTTTGAGTTTTATATTAAATATTTCATAAGTTTTCAGAAAATTGGTAATGTGATGGAAATGTTAATTGGAGTGCAATGTTAAGAACTTATGACATGTAATTGTTTTTATAAAAAATGCTGAACTAAAATTTATTTTACTTAAAGTTAATTCGAATAAATTAATGGGTATTACAATGCTTTCTAACAATAGGTAAGAGTTATTCTTATGTACATCTAGGCATTTTTAGGGATCTTTATCACAAATAAAATTAAGTTTATTTTATTTTATTTTACCTTTTATTAGGCTTATTTCGTTTGCAAAAATAGTTTCAATGGATATCTTTTTATTTTTGAATTTCTGTAAACACTGATGATTTTAAGTTTTTTTCTTAAAGAGTTATACAATTCTGCAAGGAAAAAAAAAAAAAAAAAAAAAAAAAATTAAAAAAAAAAAAAAAAAAAAAAAAAAAAAAAAACTTGTAGTTTCAGGATTTTTTCCCCTTAAAAGTAAATAACATTTTAAAAAAGAGTTTCCACATATTTGTCAAAAGTATCATTAATTCTAAAATAAATGTTTTTTTTTTTTGATTAAAAAAAAATGAAATCTGGAGGTTTTCTGAAATAGTTACCTGGAAACATAAATAGCTGGTTTTCAACTATAAAAATAGTTATCCGATTGATTGTGAAAAATCAAATTAGAATCAGAGAATAAAGAAGAACTACTAAGTTTAGAAAAAAAAAATTGCCCAACACAAAGATAGAATAAATCAATTAAATAAGTTGTAAAAAAAGCTGAGAAATTTTTTACAAACTCTAAAAGCAAACATGTTCCCTTAAAAAAAGTTTTCTTTCAGAACCATTATGAATTCAGTTTTTATATTAATTATATAATAATAATAATTGTTTGTAATAATTATACATGTATGCGAAAAATATAAATTGTTTTAAAAATAAGACAAAGTATAATATAATATGTATGAAGTATATATAATTTGTAATAAAATTGAATAATAACTAGTTTGCAACTGTCTCTGTAAAAAATTTATTTTCATACATATATTTTTTTGCTGTAAAAATTTTTCTTTACATCTCTAGTTTTTAAATGTGCATACTTTATTATATGTACGCAAAATTTATTTATAATTTCTGTTAAACAAAGCATTTTTTATGAAAACTACTATTTATAATTTAATACATTTCAAAATGTTAAAAAGACAGTACATTATAACAACAGTGCACGATAACAGGTGGAATTGATGTTGTGAACTTTTTCTTATAAGTAAATGCTTACATTTTATGTTAAAATAGCAATAAAGAAACTAAAAGATGAAATCAACACATTTGCCTCTTTTCCTTTAATTTTGAACAGCTGCTTAGATTTTATATACACATATTGAGTTGACTGCTTTTGAATAGATAGTGTAAAATGCATTGGGAGTTATCAAAAGATATGAAGACTAGAATAAAACATAATGAAGGAATAGCTTTTGACATCTACAACACCGAAAATAAATATGGATTTCAATAGTAAGCTGTCAAGAAAAAAAAAAGAATATTTTTTTTTGCTTAGCTGGTGATCATCTACACCTTTACTTTATAAATTTAAAGGATGAGGATTTTAAGATATGAAATAAGATAAATGTTGTTAATTTGAGCACTACTAAATTTGAGCTCGTAATAACGGTGGAATTTTATATTTCTAACATTAGCATTTTGATGATGGCTTTGAATCTTGTTGTAATGACGGAATTCTCGTTACATGCCTAACATAATATATCTAGCTCTCACTGTACTTAGATTAATTTAAAAAATATTCTAAAACTTTTCTTATTAGTCTCATATTTATATGTAATCATTTAAAATTATGTTTAAAAATTTAATAGTACTTTTAAGGGAAAGAAAATTTAATAAGATTGAATTTTGATTTCTATACTGAATTATGATATCAACATAATTAATTTTTAATATCCTTTTTTAGATTTTAGATGATGCACAATCCACCATAAAAAATCATTCGGAGCGACCTGTCTTAAACAGTGCGACGAACAGCCATATCCATAATTTACAGTTTTCAGCATTACAAAGCAAAGGTAAATGTATAAACTATGACTAAAATATTTTTAAACCTTTGAGTTATACTCTTATTTTTATGTGATCCTGATCAAGCAAAATATGGTTGTGAAAATTGTTTATTTTATTCAGGATTAGCAAGGTTTTAGAAACAAAATGTTTTTATCTTAGTTAGAAACCATGGTTTTTTATTGCTTTATTTAAAGCTTGTATAAACTGTCTAAAATCCTTAGGTCAGCAAACCAAAAATTTTCTGTTCATTGCTAGGCTTTATAGAATTTTTATTTAAATATTACAAAAATATTGAGAATATGAATAATGCTAAACAGTAAATGTTATGACGAAAACTCAACTGTAATTTTAATTATTTGGGATCTAGTTTTTAAATTATATATTTTTTATTAAAAGAAATCAATGCATTTATTTTAATTTAAAAAAATGTTTATTTATATAATTTGAAATATATCAGTTAAGTCTGAGAATCAATGAATTGGGGGATTTCATTTGGTATTGGACAAATATATTAAATGTCTTTTAAAATATAACTATTTATTATATTACTTCAATCAAATAAATTACATTGCAATAAGTGCAAAGTGATTGTATTTGATTTGTAGTTATAAATGTTTTATTTAATTTTAGAACCATAGGTTTTAGAACTTTGAAATATTTTTGTACAATAAATCTCACATATCCTGTTCAATACGTAATTTTACTTATTACATTATTTTATTTTATTCTTGTATGTTATTTTGAGCACCAATAAATTTTACGTACAAGAGTTTAAGTTTCACAATTTTCATTGTTTGATATTTAGTTACTAATACACGTTAAAGAAAAATATTTTTAATTTAAAATAGGGTCTCAATTAACGCACAATATTCTTGGAAATAATGCTTCAGAAATCTTTATTGACACCACACTGCCATCCTCATCTAAAGTAACACCTTCAACAAACACTGTGGAAATAGATCTTTCCCAGATATTTGGTGAAGTTCATAATCATTACACAATGGAGGAAGTTCAGATTCTGCAAGCACTTGATGGTTCAGCCAAACGTTTACCACTTTTAATGGATTCACAAAGACTGAGGTTTGTCATTGTTTTCTGCAACTCATTCATCAACTAATGCAAGTATACAAAATGAAATACATGTCGCTAAAGTATTTTTCCATTTATTTAACATGGAAAAACACTTATTATGAGTTATTAAATTTAGGAATGTATCTTAACCCCTTAACAATCGGTTAATTTTCAAGAAAACGGTCATAAAAGTGCCTATTTTTTTTTTATCCGTGAAAATTATCTAAAAATGTGTGTATGAACAATTTATATATATTCATTTTTTAATTTTTGATTAATTTTATCGTGACATTTTAACAAAAATTAAATTTTTAGGAAAAGCCAGCATACTATGACTGAATGTTGGCTTTCCAGCAAGCAAGGAAATTAAAAAAATATGTGTTTTAAATATTACAAAAGAATTTTATTAAACTTACGTATAATATAAATAAAGATTAGTAATTTTTTCTTGTGTGATAAATTTCAAAGCATGAGATACAGAGGCCAAAGTCACAATCTGGACAGTAGTACCGAGTTTCTTTCCTACATCTTTTATTGTTTTCATCTCTTTCACAATTTCCTTAAAAATATCCTGGTACTGCCATCTGGTGTGTAAAATGAGAAATAAAAAGTTTTCCGGGCAAAAGAAATGAATTAGTTTTATTCTTATTGGTGCGTTACTGCTGAATACTCCAGCCCGTCAGTATCATGGGAGCGAAACATAGAGGGCGAAACCTCACCCCGTCATTTTCACGGGAGCGAGAAGGAAGGAGTTAAATTGCTAAAAAATTATTTTACATATAGTTTTAACACAATTTGAACGATCTCAATATGTCTAAGAAATAGCAGCTGACACACAATAATTTAGTACATTTTAGCATATTTTTTAAACCCAAAAATTTGAACAACATAAGAAAAAAGTTTTTCTTTAATTTAGAGCATGTTATTTGAATTCTATTTCTGTCTTACTTTACCTTGGTCTATAATAATTTATTGATAATAAACATATAAAATTGTGTGTACAGATTTTATAAAGAACTTCCCTCACCATTCCATGGTTATGAAATTTAACTGTTTCCAGTCAATTGGGTCAATAATGACAAGTTTCGGCTTGGATCTGTGAGAGAAAAGGAATAAGTTCAAGGAATCCAAGAGGGATTGAGAAGCTCCCCTCTTTGAAATGCGCTATTCCTTGCTGAAATTACAGCAAATGGAATTTTTTCTGTCGACAAATTATACTTTAGTTCTTAGCTTGTGTTTCCTCAAAATGTTGTTTGTAAAATAAATATTTTCACCTTGATGAAAATTTAACTTTTTTTTTTCATTTGCCATTATTCCAAATGCAATTATGTATGTATTTGTAATTGTATCTATCTAATGTATTTGCTATTGTGTCCTAAATAGTACTATAGCATATTAAGCACTGTATTTAACAAAACTAAAGTATTTAAGAATTTAATTTGGACAAAAAAGTGTTCCATGTATCATGTTTTGACCTAGAATTAAGCATTTCACTTTCCTGATATATTGTTTAATCAAATAATTTTTTGTTTGTTTTATTGTCTTAGGTATCATGGTCCAGGTGGTCCTGCATCAACTCCAGAATACTATCCAACAAGTGTGGCAAATTGTAATTCCATGGAATTTTTTCAACGTTTGTCTGCTGAGACTCTCTTTTTTATCTTCTACTTTTTGCAAGTTAGTCCCAAATAATTTTTAGTGTATAACTAATAGATTATTTATTTATGTATTACTTAAGATTCTTTCACAGTTCTATATATGTTTTGAGATATCCTATTTTTAGATCTATACGTGGACTTTTTAAACACTTAAAATTGTATTAAAGTTTTGGGGGTTGGCTTAAACACTGGTAACACATTTGGACACTGTTCTTTGCCAGGGACCAGTGACTAAAATATAGTTTTAGTGTATACACATTTTCACTGGTCCATTTATATGTCTCTATATTAGAGTTTTTGTAACATTTTTTTTTTAATAAAGTGATTTTAAATGAAAAATTGCAATACAAAGAATCTAATGTTAATGAATAATGTTCACAATAACATAAACCAAATATGTTATGATGAAATATGCTATTTTATGACAATGACACAAACCCAAACTCCAGACTGCAAATCAAAAAAACCAAAACAGTATATCATCCTTTTACATTAATTGCTGGTCCATAGGATTAACGATAATTAATATTTTTTTATTATATTTGCCGGAGTCAAATTTTAGTGGTTCTGGGTCAACAGACCAAATATCGAGAATTTATCAGTAATCGGAACTTGAGCATCATAGTAAGTGGAGAGCTAACGATCTAAAATTTACTTATGATCGGGGTGGTTTATATTATTTTATGTGAAACTTATAATAAAAAGTTGGACTAAGAAGATCTTTTTGTTTAATTTATTAGTGAAAATTATTATTTTTTAATTACATTAATTTATATTTGGAATACAGAATTTTATATTAGATTAAAAAATTGTTTTTAAGAATAAGAAATTCAGCGTTTGACTTAAAGATAAAATATGCACAAAATCCACCACTTTTAATTTAAAGATAGGGAGTCCGCCCTCATACCTAAAAATATGTTTTATTAAATATTATTATAAATATTTAAAAAAGTGCTTCTTTGTCAAATATGTATATGAAAAAATTGTTTATTTTCCCTAGGGTACAAAAGCTCAATATTTTGCGGCAAAAGCATTAAAACAGCAATCTTGGAGGTTTCACACAATGTTTATGATGTGGTTTCAAAGACATGAAGAACCAAAAACTATCACAGATGAATATGAACAGGTAACGTATTTAAATGATTTGCTTTAAATTTTACCAATTTTTTTGCAATTATTGTTTCTTATGTTTTCCAAATCAAAATCAATGTTTTTTTCTATGTTACTTGTTAGAACACATGAGCGGGTATCATATTTTTTAAGTTGTTTTTCAATATTATTCTATTTTAAAACAGTAGAAAATGTAGCCTAAAGTTATTTTTGAATGAAATCTATCTAAATTACTTTTCTGTGCTTAAAATTATGTTTCTAAGTTTACAATAATTCTTTCTGACCATGCATAGTGAGATTAGTTGGGTCTCGGACAGCAGAAAATTTCGGTGTTCGAAGTTATCACTTTTTAAGCATGATCACACTTTTCTTAAATTCAAAATTTCTGAATGGTTTTCAAAACAACTTCTCTTGTTCCGAGCTCTCTTCATATCTGACACTGAAATTTCTTAATTACTTTGACATTTTTCTACCTTGTTTAATTAGCAAATTTGTTAGATTTTGGAGGTTATGAAAATTGATGTTCATTTATATTCTTTAAACAAACTCTTTGTTTCTGAAACTGAAAATTTGCTGAAGGAACAAGGTTTAAGTAAATAATATACATGGAGGTAAATGTCTAGCTTCCATAGGCATAATATAAACCAATCCCCCAAAGTTAGGAGTGGTCCCTGTTTATAAAGTAGAAACCAACATTTAGGAGCCCAACAGCATAGGTTCTTGAAACAGGTTTGCACCCTCCTTTCCTCCAAGCCAATACTGTGGTCAGGGGCAGATTAAGCGCCCGCGAGCCCTAGGCCATTCAAATTTTTGGGGCCCTTAGATTAAATTTTTTTCTCGTATATATTTTATTTATTCAAATATAAAAGTATTTTATATCTTTTCGTTTAAGAAAGCATATTTAAAATAAAAATAAATAATAATAAATTAAATTTTACTTTATTTTATTAAATTAAAACTAAAAAATAATCATAACATTTTGAAAAAATTTGGAAAATCATTGTTTTTTTTAATTTTTTAAAATTTATTTAAAAAAAATCCATTCTAAGGGGGCCCCTAATCATTGGGGTCCCCAGGCCATAGCCTAATGGGTGATCCGGCCCTGACTGGGGTAGGGGTGAAGAAGAAAATTTTTCTTTTTATTTATTGTTGGTTTGTTCTGCATTTTCACACTATTGATAAACAGTACTGTACTATTAATTTAGATATTTCTTTAAGAATACATTTATATTTTCTATGTTGATTAAATCTACTAACACATTTTGACACAGAAAAAAAGAATAAAACATCGGTTGGCAGGAGACAATGTATGCGACCATACATTTGTCCAACTACGGGTACACAAGTGATGTACCTCCTGACAATCACTTTACTTCTTATGCCTGCGCACTTGATCATATGATACTACATATGACGCTCTGCTAAATCTGAGTATGTTGCTCAACTTGTGAGTAGTTTTTCTGTTAAAGCTTACCGCACCTAACAATTCCCTGTGTTAGCTACGCATTCTGACCTTCTTCTTTCTACATTCTTTGGGTTTAAGCAAAGAATATACATAGGATTTAAAGATGTAAAAAAGTAGTAGAAATTTTTACAACAAATACCAGAAGTGTTTACATTACATCAGGTAAAGTTTGCATGCTTTAAAATATATTAAATGAGTATACATCCTATATCTTCAGATCTATGTCTTAGACAGTAATTGCCGCATCTCTTTATATTATACGGATTAAAGTTTGATTTTGGTAGAAAGTTTTTAAATCTAACTAAGCTACAAGGTACAGGGACTTTCTTAGTTTTCTTTTCCCCTCTATTCTCACTACCTTAGATTTTAATGCAATTCAATTAGATGTGATTTTTATATAGATTAAAGAATAGCTAGATTGCATTGTAGTGTGTCAACTAGTTTGGAAACAGCTATGTAACCTCTTTATATGAGTGACAGCTATGTAATCTCTCTGTGAGAGACTGCTATGTAATTTCTAAATGAGTGACAGCTATATAATCAGAAAATATTTGCAGAACGCGCCTCTCTAAAAATGTTTTGATTTTGTCATTTTTTCGGCATGCTGCGGGGCATGGCTAAGACTCAAATCTTCTGTATTTTGAAGAATTACATAAAATTTTGAATCTTCTCAGAATTACTCATATACATAGGCATGTGAGGATAGTTTTTCCTGCTTTGCTAATGACATAAATTTTTGCTGCATTTCAACGTGACCAATGTTGTAAATTGTTAATTTTACAAAATGTAAGATGTGAAACATCTGCTAGGAGGAGAAAGAGAGGATCATACTTTTCTTTTCTTTTAAATTTATTTGGGCTGAATGTGTTAAATTATCTTTACTTAAAGAACAATATATTAAAAAAAAAGTTTAACTGTGCTATTGTTTCTGTATTACCACTTTTAAAACATGGTTAGATTGACACATGTATTGATTTAATATTGAATGACTTTATATTGACATTTTACCTTTTTGTTGATGGCTAGTGAAACAAAATAAGTCTATAACAATGCAGGTGCTATATACAATAGGTTAAGTACAATTTCTTTTGTTATGTATTATTTTGCACTCACAGGACTCAAGATCGTCTTTCTCGATTTAACAGCATTGTACACTTGCACTATCAAGTGATCAGTATAGCGTTTCAAGTAGTTAGACTATTCATGCTGATTAGGGATGTATCAGGTACCCAGTAATTTATAATTATAATAATTTACCAGTTAATACCGTAATTTCGCACGTATAGCCGGCACCATAGTATAGTCCGCAGACCCAATTTTATATAAAAAGAATTTCAAAAATCGTCAGATAGTCCGCGAACTATACGTCTGAAATCATGTTATTTTAATACTGCAATATTAATGTATAACGGAATTAAAAAAAACAAACCTGATGATGAAATTTAGGAATAAAAATAATTTATTGAGTGCAAAATTTATCATGAAAAGGAAAAAAAAAAAAGAAAAAAATCAAACGTAGTGGAATCAGAAAAACAAAACTGCAATCTGCTTCATAAAATAATCCTATGTTTAAATTAATAAACAATTCTCCTTTTATTTTTNTTTTACTTTTATTAATTGATGTCAAATAGATAAATATATTTCTCTCTTTCATCTTCTGTACAATGATATGCATGTGCAATGCATTTTCCCCACCCCCTTGTAAATCAAACAGAAAACGAAATCAGCATGCCACTCCTTTGAGTTTGATTGACGGCCTAAAGGAGAAAATAAAGATCTAAAACCTTCAAGGTCGCGGAAGAAATTACTTTTCTCTGGGTAAACAGGGAAAAGAATTCTCCCCTTCCTCACATTTTCCTCTACTCAACTTCAAGGATGTGTCCAATTTTCTTATTTTTTTTCATATCGTTTTAGTTCAAAATGGGGGGGAGAACCAAGTAAAAGTTTTCCCCGGATTATCGATACGATACATAGGAATGTTTTCTTGGAATCTCGCACTGTTGTTTATATTTGATCATCGGCAGTTCATGACAGCATGATTTTTAAATTTCAATGATTTTAACCGTGAACAACCAGCATTTTATCCGCACTGGTGGATAGTCCGCATTTTAAACACAGATAGTCCGCTGACTGTATGTGCGAAATTATGGTAAATACAAATTCGACCAGGTACCCTGTACTGGCCGGCTAAAAATATAAATTTTTGCGAGGTGTTCAAATCTGGTTGGATAAGCGAATAACTTTTTATCGGGTACATCTCTAATTGAGACCTTTCTGGTGCTTATTTTATCAGTCTGTGAGGAAATATAAAATTTCTATCTGCACATAACTTCCTTTTTGAAGTAAAATTATTCTATAAATTTTAAAATTAAGTATAAATAACTTTTTCTCTTTCTTTTTCAGGGCACTTATATTTATTTTGATTATGAAAAGTGGTCTCAGAGAAAGAAGGAGGGTTTTACTTTTGAATATAAGTATCTTGAAGACAGAGATTTAAAATAAGAGTTTACTTCAAATTTTTAGTTTTTAAGTCAGCCTCATGAGAAGTTTTAAGTACAGGATTCTATGTCACGAAAATCAGTTTGAAAGACTTTCATTGTCTGAATAGTTGAGCTACATGTAGAAAACTATCTTTTTTTTTTTCTTTCACCAAGCAACTGAATTTCATTTAGAAAACAATCTTTTGTAAAAAGATTTTTTTTTCTGGCTCAGCAGTTGAGCTAAATTTAGTCAAAATTATCTTATCTTTAAATAAATTTTCTTTTTCTCAACCAGTTGTAATTTCTCACTCATAATTTCCCATATTATGCCGGAAAAAAAAAAGCCACTTGGAATCTGTCATATGTATCACATATACGATTGTTGCATTTTTCTTACCTATGGTCATTAGTCATAATCAACTGTAAAATGAGGGTTTTAAATTTTTTAATTTTAAATTATATTGTTATAATAGCATTTGCGAATTTTTATTTTTAGAATGAAATTTGCTAAATTTGTAATTGTTGATCATGTTTGTAAATATTTTTAATAAAAATGTTTTTGGAGCTACTAAAGTGTTATATCTTTTAGTAGCAAGTTGAAAATTGATGCAATAAAAATGTGATTAAAATATTAAAACAAAAGATTTATTGTCATGGTAACTTAGTTGATAAAAGTATTTAATAACATTTTTCAAAAATCTGTATGTGTACTAAAAAACATTAAAATAAAATTTCTGTTTAATATTAACTTATTTTCTTGTTCTGCAAGCAAAATTTTATTTTGTGTAACCATATCAAGAAACAAGACTATATATCAATCTGTTTTTATCAATTTTATTTATTGCTGTTTAAATATACAATACGTATTATTAATTTAAATTATTTAAATATGTTTAGTTTTTAAAAATATAACTTTTCTCTGAATTTCATTGTTAAACATATTTTGGTGTTCTAATGAAAGTAAAAAGAATTTCGAACAAATTTTGGAGTTGTATACAAAAAACATGAATTTTTATATTTATTATTTTAAAAGTTGTTAAAAAAATAAATTGAATTGCAATAGGAGATCTATTTCATAAATTTTGCTCTCTAAAATATGTTTTTTGAACTGAAAGTATTCATTTTTATAATGTATAAATTTTTTTTTCTTCCAAAGTGATGCAACAATTGCTTTTATTAATAAACCAAATTGAAATACAAAATTTACTACAAAATTATTTTAAAATTTTTTTGTTGCTTGTTATTATTATGCGTAATTATTAAATGCTGTAAATAATATACTAATAACCTTATAAATATTTGCTTGCAGAATGTATTGTGTTATGAGATTGTTTTGGATATACTCCAATTCTTTAAAAATATTTGAAAAGTTTAATTGATTTCATTAATGTTGGTTTTTCTAATTTAATATAATATAATGATTATATACTTAAAATAGCTTCTTTTTTTAAAATTAACGTTTTGTACTATTCTATTGTATTTAAAATAAGTTAAAAAAAAAGATGAAGGATTCCTACGATTTTTATTTTAAATTGCTCTTAGGTTGTTATTGATTTATACTGTTTCACGTCTGTAAAATAATGAATAATATGTCCTAAATCTTTTTTAATTATTATTTCTATAACGTTAAAAATATTTTTGAAACTATCTTTTTGAGGAAAATTTATACTTGTTTTAGTGAGACATAAGGATTAAAAATAAATTTTATGTTTAAATTTTCATACAATTGCATAGATATATGAAAACAAAGCTTTTTATTAAAAGATACAATAGTATATGATCTTCTGTTGAAAAGAATTTTGTAATGGTTTAAAATTATTATCAAAATTCTTTTTTTCAAATACATTTTTAAATATTTATTTGATAGTTTTCATTTATGTTATTCAACTTGTTACGAAATGGTGAATTTTTATTGTAGTGTGTGCGAAATTCATTTCATTGTAACTACGTATGCTGAATTTGTTATTATGTAAAATTTATCACTTTACTAAAAATAAAAAAAAATCACAACTTCTAAGAGCTTTGGAGTGGATGGTTTAAATTTTGACTCTGACTTATATTCTGTTGAAATTTACCCTGGACTTTAGGAAATAATATTATCCTAATCCTAGATTCATAAACCCAAGACCGTGCAAAATATGTGAACATTTGTACATTTTAAAGTAAAAGGGGCACTTAGTACCTTCCCAGCTTCTTATTCAAAAAAATTAACTTCTAAATTAGTAGATCGTTTAACAGAAAAATAATTCTAAGTAGATCCTTCCTAGATCATTAGACGAATATTATGAATAATGTCTCATGCTTGTTATGAATCTAGGATTAAATAAATATTAATTTCAATCTTTTTCTTATGTACAAATAGAATTAAAGGTATTTTACTTAAAATTTTTCTTACATTATTAGTTATGTGATAATTTTTAATTTAAGAAATTTTGCTATAAATTATAGTAATTTGAGTAATATTTTTGTTTACATAATAAATATTTGTCTAAATCTTCATAAGATCTGAGACTAATTTCTTTTTAACTTTTGGGAGCTAAGTTTTAACTAAATGAAGTTAAGAGCTCTGCTTATTATTATTTGTGCTTACGTTCTCAATAAATTTTTATGCGATTAATCATAACATGTGATATACCTGCAACTTACAAATTTAATATCAAAAGGCATTATAATTAACTTGTTACATGGTGCTACTTGTGCATTTCTGATTTTGTTGCATATTAATGTGAAAATATTTATTGTATTTATGTTGGTTGTAAATGTGTATTTGTTTATAAAATTGATTTTATGTTTACTTTTATTGTGCAACTAAAATCAGATTTACTTATGCATGAAAACTTGGAAAATTATACTGCCTATGCTTTTAAGTGTTCCTTAATGATACATTGTCTTCCCTTCTAATGGAAGGAAACAGGGTGTCATTTATTTCATAAACAAGAATGCCAACTGTTTTGAATTTTCAATGTTCATTGATCCACTAAAAAGCAATTAAAGTCTTCAAGAATAAGCTTAATATTGTCATTTAATTCCTTTGAATGCAGACCTGCCCATTTTTTTTAATATCAAGAAGACTTTTTAATATTAAAATCTTCTGCTTTCTTGCAAAAGATGGAATCTTCCTTTTTTGCTGTTCAACTATCAATTATGTTTCCCCTGATTTTGTCAGTTTTGGGTACATTCTTGAGATAAAATTGGTGACAAGATATGAATTTCAAATCATACAGCTCTGATGATATTTTAAACTAAAAAACTTATGATTTAATTTAGACATTACATAACTACCTTTTTTATGGGATCACTGTGATAAAATAAGTAAGTAAAATAATAAAACGTTAGTCATATTTTGGTAATTAAAGAGTGAAGTTCAAGTTTGCAGGAACCCAATCTAAATCCTTTAGCATTTCAATATGGAGTAAAAAGAATTTTTAATAGAAGTGGGGAAATAATATAAATTCATCACAATACCAGAATTGAATTAAGGCATTGGAGAGACAGGTGAAGATTTAGTACTTATTTTTAAGTATTATACTACTGAAAGAGTATTAGTATTTTGATAAATTAAAGTAATAATATGTAAATTAAAGAAAAAATCAAATTTTTATTAATAAAAGTGGGCAGGTATGTAAATGCTAGTTTAAATTTACAAATTGCAGAATATTTTGAAAACTTTATAACGTTTATAGTAGAAAACTTAGACAACTGTTTGTAGTAACTTTTTATTTTAAATACAAATTTATCAATGTTGGTTTAATATTGAATTTTAATTTCCTTCCTTCAATGAAATTTTATGTAAAAAGTTTTTCAGCACAAGATGGTTAGGGCTCACAATGGGACTGTCACTCTTGAAATGTTTCAAGTCATTTAAGTAAAATTGCAAATAAATAGAATGACTTTTCCACTTTTAGCAGCTTTAAATCACCTCCCCCCTAGAAATATACATTAAGTGGCAAAAGGCATTATGTAACAAAACTTGCTTTTATTTCAGTTTCATATTAGTAAAAGATAATTTAAAAGTATTACTTTTTTTTACAGGGCAAACTAAAGAAAGTTGATTATGTAAAAAACTTCTTATGTCTCAAAGAAGAATGTTTTCATCAAATAGCGTTCTTTTATTTTGAAGCGAACTTTTTTTCTGAAAGTTTTAAATAGTGCAAAATCGCAGAATATTTTTTTTCAACAAGATATTTGAATTGGACAATTATAATTTCCCGATGCCATTCATAATTATAACTCAGTTAGAAAATTTGCATAGCTCAATTAGATTAAATAAACTGCTTTTAATGTAGAAAAAAAAACTAATACTGACGTCTTTTTGTTGTAAACATTTCACTGAAATCATGGGAGTGTAAAACGTTTTAATGAATATTTTAAACTCTGCAGTAGACTTCCCCCCCTCCATATATATGTAAAGCCCGAAGTCTAGTAAATCCTGGGCATCAAAGTGGTTTGGCTATCCGCAAAAGGTTGAAATAGGATCACATTTCAGAGTACTTAGGACTTATAGCAAGCCACTCTGGTAAAATTTAAGATTTACCAGAGTTCATGATTTTACATATTAGGTCCCAGGTTTTTACAATAACATATAATCTAGGTTTTTTCTTACAAGCCTGATCTTTATGAAAATTATAGAAAAAAAAATACTGGCATTTCTTTGCGCAAAAGACAGAATAGTATTTTTAAAGAGTTGGCATGCTTGTATTATCCTTTCATAAATGTTTGGAATCTTTTATTTAGAACAAAGTTTTGTTTTTCCCGATGGATTGTATAGTTATTGTTTATTTTGTCTAAGATTTTGAAAGTCTTTTTTGCTGTAAAAAGTTTTCTAATGAATTCTCAGGTTTTTACTCCATGTGACACTTGTATATATTAAAGATTGAAGACGGCCATGACTTTATAATTTCTGTAATGACAAATAAATACTCATGATGGTATTTTCTGTTTACTTTAATGCATTTTCTCACATATTTCCACAAGATAGGTATTATACTTTAAGCTTTAACTACCAACCGAATTTGAGGTTGCTTTTCTACACTGAAGATCTGTTTTGTTCCATATAATTCAAAAGAGAAATTGTTCTTGTAATCAAAGATTTAAGGGTGACCAACGTTGGGTAACAATAATAAACATGTTTTTTTTTTTTTAAATATTGCATTAAAAGGAGCACTTAATTTTCATTAAATAAGTGTTAATTTTAATAGATATAAATTATTTTTCTCATAAACAATATGTTTAAAATGTTAAAAGTCGACCCATTTAGTTAAAAAAATTTAAAATTCTGCAATAAACTAAGGCAAGAAGCCAGTTTTTAACTATAGAATGCTTTTAATTAGGTGCAATACAGAAACTATCTGGAAATAATACCAAGGAATAAACTGATGTAAAATGAATAGCCTGTCGCTACAATTCCACAGGCCTATTATCTGTTATAAACAATTCTTACAGGACAGCAGTTTAAACTGTCCCAAGGTATATATACATACCGATTCCTTATTTCATATCTTTCTCATCTCCTTAAAAACACTTGTTTTTGTAGTAGAGGCAAGTAATGCCTGAATCTACATTAATTTGTTAATACTCTGGATAAAGCTGACAATATTAAGATAATTTTAAGTACTAGATTTAGGACTCTTATTTGAGAGAATAGGGTCTTTCGAGGAAAATGGAGATGTTTTAGTTATTGTTTAGTTTACCCTATTAGAAAGTCCCCTTCTTGCAATCTGTCTTGATCTTCCATTTCCACGAATTTGACAATTAAAACTGGACAGTAGTCCACTGATTTTACAAAATGATAGTCACAGTATTGTGACTTGCATAGATAATGATATATCTTTTAACAGTAATGTTTATGTGAGCACCCCTGCAAATTAAGAAGTATGTTGTTTGTATAAAGAGGGTAATTATTTGGTTTTGACTTCTCAATTAAAAAATCTTTAGTAAAATTTAATGACACCAGGGAATTTTCAGTAAAGAATCCTAATTGGAATTAATTTTTTGCTTTATTAAAAAGGTTTCTTTAGTGAGTACATATTGCATTGTACTTTGTGTTTTATTTAAGAGACATTAAAACAAGACTCAGATTTGAAATTAAATATCTATTGTTTCTACAAAATATTTCCCTACAGTATGTTTGATAGGCAAAATATTATTTTCTTTCTTTATCATGTCAAACATATTTTGTATAAGCAAATAATCTTCATATATTCCGATCTGTAAAAGAAAAAAAAATCTAGGTCAGAATATAAGAAAGTCATAAGGTTATTTAGTCACTTTTCAGTTATTCATTTTGAAGGTGAATCCTAACTTTTTCACTAAAAGAAGTTAAGCTGACATTTGAATATAGATGACACTCAATTAATTTGAGTTGAAATCTGGTTTGTTTACTGGAAAACTGACCACATAAAGAGAGCACCAAAAAATACCTTGAATATTTACTCATAATTTAAGAATACTGGACTAATTTGGACAAATAATACCATACTTTATGAGAATTAGGAACTAACAGAATATTAAATAATAAGGAAACCTTTTAAGTAAAGCCATTATTAAGATTAATGACCTGCTCCTTAGCAGCTACTTTAAATAATTAAAATAATGTGTCTAGATAAATGCTAAAACTACATCTTTTAACATGAAACTAAACAACCACAGTAATTAATATTTCAAAAACAAAAAATTTCAAACAAGATTATGATGATTGATTAATTTACTATGTTTGAAAAGATAGAAAAAGCAACCCTTTAACCTATTTAATTGCATTATGGAAACATTGATTGATTTATTAGTGATACGACCTACCAGTCAAATGTATCAATTTGTATTATGTGTTTCTTACATTAAAATATATCTAAATAATTAACAATGGCCTGTATTATACTATATGAAACACAACCCAATTCCTCCAATACAATGAAACAAAGTAACCCTGGTGACGAAATGCTTAAGAATTCGTCAACTCCAAAGGGGTAATCCTATCATAAAGTTGAAGATTCACAGGGGTCGAAAACACACAATTCGATGAACTATTGTAGTTAATTTATAAGAAAAGTTTAAAATAAAAACTTGATGTAAAATTATTTTCTGACATCATAATTGTTGAAAAAGTCAGTTAAATTGGTCTAAAAAGAGGGTAGGGTAACCGTTGTACTACGTAGAATAAAGTGAAAACAACTGGAACAAAGTACAGCAATGGGCATTCTATAGTTTCACTTCTCTCAACAAGAATCTTCCTCAGTATCTAAACATCAAATAACAGTAGAAAAGTAAGAGATAACCACTTGCAAAATTGTTTCCTATAGGTTGATTAAACCATTTTGAATGTGTTTATCTCTTAACTATTATACTGTTATTGGGTGTTTAGATACTCAGGAAATAGTATGTTCATTTCTGTACATTACTTGTGCTTTTGCAGTTGATGCTTTTTTTTCTTCAGTCAGTCAATTGAATTATTGGAAAAGAAAGAAATGTAATTTAAATTGTAAAAGCAATACGAAAAAAAAAGATATTTACTTTTTCTGAAAGGTAAGAAATGTAATTTAAATTGTAAAAGCAATAAGAAAAAAAGATATTTACTTTTTCAGAAAGGTAAGTATCTAATCTTTTCCTAAGTTTGAATATCTTCTTATCTTTTGGAGATAGTAATACATCTATATGAGATTTCATTAAGATAAATACCCAGTCAAATATCTGAAATAAATGTAAGTAAATAAATATAGGATAGATTAATAAAAATAAAAACTTAAGCAATACAGTATTACATTGCATTATAATCTAACAAAAAATAAAATATAGTAGATTAAAACATACTTGAGCATCTGATGGCATATCACAGGATGAAACAGTAATCTTATTTTCAGATATATCCAACAGGATTTCCAAGAGTCTCTAAATAATAAATATTCAATCAGTTCAAATGAAAATAATATATCAAGATAATTTTAAGATACCGGGAAAAAATTGTTAAAAAAAAGGTTTCAAAACAGCATTTTTTAAGTGGATAAACACAGAGAAAATATTTATATTTTTGTCACACCGAAAACTAAAAACATAGAGCACTTAGTAAAGAAGTGGGGCAAATTTTCCATTACGAAAATGTTGTACCCAACAATTGTCTTGGGTGTCACAAAAAATAAAATTATTTTAACTATTTAAGTTTACTTGAAAAATATGAAACCAAATTTAAACCAGATAAATTTTATAAAACCAGATTTAATACAATTTTTATGCATCTTTAATTAGAACATAATAATACTCAATTTTTCCAGAATATCTAGAATTTTTTTTTTTATCTTCTTAACAATTATTAAAGCGTTATAGCGCACAAGCTGAATCGCTGATGCTAAATTTAAAATATCTTTAAATATAAATTTAAGAACAAATGTATACAGAACAATTTTGATTGGTAATTGATTTAAACTAGATTAAATATAATTTTAATGCATCATCAATTAGAACACAATAATACTAAATTTTCTAGAACATCTTATGTGTTAAACAACTCATAAAGAACATAAATAAAAATGGCACAAAATTTAACTAGTAAAATGATGCTACTTGTACTATTTATTATAATGGTAATGTTTCAAATTAATCACTGTAGATGCTAAAAAAGAAGCACCTAAAATTATTATTTTTCAGCTCATTTGAGTGGTAGAATAAAAAAAATTTTAAAACCCAAAAGATTATGTTTCAAAACAATATTTTACATGCAGCTATTTTAACAATCTTTTGTTTAAATGAATGCTGCTTCATGGAATGAAAAGCATCAAAATAATAATTTACAGCAAGTTAAGAGGATTGATAAATCACTCATACAACGGGTCAGAAAATATAGAATTAGTAATCAAGTTTTACTTGAAATTGAATTATGATATTAAAATGAGAATATTAAAATAAATGTCTGAAATAGCATAACTGACTTTAGAATGTATCTAATTTAAATATTACAACTTTACAAAAATTAATTAAGGTAAAAAATAAGACACAATGAATTAGCTGTTAATCAGCCACACTGAAAAATACAATTTGAAAGCACATGACATGAATATTGAATCCAGGGAGTCAAAGTTGGTTTGTTTCTGCACATTTTAAAAAGAATACTTAATACAAGATCAAAAATTATTAGAGGTATGGTTGATTTTTAACATCCTTTTAAACAGCAATGGCTTATAAAAACACTTATCAAAACAAATTCATAATTTTTGATATAGCCTATGACTTTTCAATATTTTTGTAAAATTAATACCATACACATGTCTATTGTAGAGTGACTCATATAAATTTTTAACAATTAACGAAAATAATATTGAAAAATTAAAATATTTTCTGAAGAAATACTCACTACTGCATCTAATAAGAGGATTTTTCTCATATATTGCACCAATGTTGATTCTCGGTAAGTTGAAGTAAAAATATTTACTCTAGCAAATATTAAGGAAAATCTACTTAAAGCTCTAAAAAATTGTGGAATAGTTGCTCAGAAAATTTAAAAATAAGATAACTATTGGGCTATCTCAAAATGAACTATTGGGCTAAGATTAAAATTTTAATGGAACATTTATTGTAATAGGAGAATTCCATTAAAAAAAAAAGAAAACATTTTTAATTAAGTTTTTAAAACAAACTTGCTTTTGAAAGAGAGAAACACCTTAACATTTCTTACAAAAATCTACAAGGAAACTCAAATGTAATAATGATATAAAAATATAAATAAATTGCAATGAATTTAAATAATTTTTTAAGAGAAGTAATTTATAAAACATGTCATTAAAAAGTTTGAAATAAAAATGAAATATACATTTATTATTGATTAAACAGAAAAGTACTTAAAAAGTATGAATTATTTCGAATGATAAATAATTGAGGTAGCAGGTATAGTTCAGAAAGCTCTTTGCAAACAATAGATAGTCATTGAAATTATTTTTACACTAATATAAAAACACCTTTAAGTATTAACGTTTTTTAAAGCTATTGAAATTCTTTAATAAATTTCAGTATTTACAGAAAATAAATAAAGGAAGAAAAAAATTGAAAAGGATACAATAAGACATCCGGGTCTATGGAACATGCCGTTTTCTTTTTATACTTTAACCTAAAACGAATTGAAACACAAATAAAAATTAGGCAAATTTAAATAAATAATATTAATAAAATAGAATTCATATATATATATTTCAAGTAAGTAATTGCAGCATTTTTAAGAAACAAAATTAAATTTTAGAAAAAAAATTCAATTTCATCACAATTAATTAACATATTTTTTAAAATAATTTGCTATCTGAAAATTTATAAATTAAGAAACTAGATTTTTAAATAAATAAATGTAATTAATATATTTTAAAATGTCTTTCGTAAACTAATAATCTTGATGCCAAACTATCAGCCTTCTTCTTGACTAAAAAGTACAAATAACTATACAGTGCCCGCCTTTTATTAAAATCACTTTCGTTTTATGCTCGTTTGATTTTATTAAGCGGCTGATTTTATTAAGAGGCAATTCAACATTTGAAAAAAAAAAATTTTTTTTTTACGATATATGTATTCTAAATGCACACACTTTAAAAGCTGAAATAATGACAACATTAATGCTTTATTTTAACTACTTTAATTATTTTAATAAAGTAAAACCCTACATAAAAATAAATTTACAAAATTTTTGCAAAAAAAACGATCAATAGTTGCTTGAGTTGCAGTATTTAAAATTAACTTTTGAACATCATTTGAGAGTTTATAGTTTTCGATATTTCCTCCTCTTTGTTCTAAAGCTTGCCGCAATACATTAAGTGCTTTTCTGACTTGAAGATGGCACTGATGAGTTTATTTCATCTTCTGAGTCTGATTCCTCCATTTCTTGATTGGAAATAACTTTGCAATTTTTGATGTCTGTAACAATTTCAGAATCAGATTTTTCTCCTGATGTTTGCAGGTCCGTACGTGAAAAATTCTCCTCCATTTCATTTTCTTCATTGCTGATTGCATGCAGCTACGTAACGTGAAAAATTCTCATCCATTTCATTTTCTTCATTGCTGAGCATTTCATCGAAACAGTTATCAGCTCCATCGCCAGTGCTTAATCCAGACGTTTTAAAGCAATTTGATATTGTTTGGATTGAAACAATGTCCCATGAGTTACGAATCAAATGCATTGATTCCAAAATAGTAAGGGATTTCGATAGTTCGTTATCAGAATCACCAAATAAGTTAGTAAAGTCCTGCGCTTTGTGAAATAAAATTCCACGGGAAATTGGAATTCTTCGTTCGCGTGCATTTTTGAACCATTCTAACAGAGCCATTTTAATTTCCTCCGATTTTCCTTCACGCTTACGCTTTCTTGACAGATTTCCATTCTTTTTTATTTCCTCGGAAATATTTATCCTTTGTTTCAGAATGTTGAAAAGAACAGTTTGGGAAATCCCTAATTTACCTGAAGCTTCACGTTGACTACATTTAGGAAGCTTATCATAGTTTTGTAACACATCGAATTTATCTTTAAGACTCAAATCCTTTCTTTTCAGCATGATGATAAAATTTGACACCAAACGAACTTAAAAATGATATGTGCTCTAACTCTATTTATAATTTACTCAAATGGCTTAAATAATATGGAGCATGTGCACAGACAGTTTTTGGAAATGATGGAAATCTATTCATGTTCTCTGTTAAGATAGATAACAAAAGAAACTTCTTTCCCTTCTATGGTTCATTCAAAAAAGGGAAGATAAGAATTCAACCCCCTATTGAGTGAGATAGGTTTCTCCAAACTTCATTCAAGTCAAGAAATTGACATTGATAAATGATTTCTATGAACTCCCTGCTTACTACGCACATTTTTCCTCAACTCTTACACTATGTATATCACAGGAAAGTGCTAACCACACCTGTTTCACAGGTTTGTGAGTAACTGTTGTTTCTTCTAAAAAAATCTTTAAACTTCCAAAAAATAAAATTTTACAAATAAGAACAAAAAAAGCTAAAATATTGCACTTTTGATTTATTATGTAGTCAAAATTTTGATTTTAAAAAGCGGCGTCATTGATTTTATTAAAGGACGTTTTTAACATGCATTAATATTGTAACGATTCGGTTCTTGCCGATTTGATTTTATAAAGCGGCTGATTTTATTAGCGGCGGGCACTGTACTACAAACTATTTACTCCTGATGAAGTAAAAATAATCCTGTTGCCTGTAGCCACATTTTATAACTTAAAGAAAACTAAAATTTGCAAATATATATATATATATATATATATATATATATATATCAAGTTTGTTTA